TTCTCCAGTCTGCTGAGGTCCTTCTGCATGGAAACATGACCTTCTGGCATATCAGCCACACCTCCCAGTTTTGTGTCATTGGCAAGCTTGCTGAGGTTGCACTCTGCCCCGTCACTAAAGTATGTTTTATGGGGGTTGTCTTCCAGTACTTTAGATGTCTGCAGAATAGATGCATTTGTCTAAACTAGCTGTCTGGGCTCCTTACATCCTAGCAGACAGGCATGTCCTAAGCACACTCCATTCAACGTTGCGCCAGGCATTGCCTGTTTGTCGCTATCACTAACAGAGCAACCTTGGATATCTGAGATGCAGCTGTATAAACTGAAGTGACATGCACCCGACTCTTTCTGACTACAGCCTGTAGTATCTGCTGTGAAACCAAACTGCTGCTCAGCATGAAATTATTCTCAGAATCAAAGACATGACATAATGTGGCCACTTGCCAAGGATGTAGTCCAGCAGAAACAAGTCCATGCCCTGTGGGAGTTGACCTCATAGCCTGGGATGAGTTGTTTTATTACTATCCAACTGGGAAAATCTGTCTTATGGGAACTGAGAACAAGCAGGAAAGGTTCATCTTCATCCATATACTCCACAGCTTCCATTGCAGTTATTACAGTGTCAAATGATGAGGTAGTGGGTACTGTTATTAGAAAGAAATGATCCATCAGGAAAAATATACTGAAGCACATCCAGATTTTTTCTTATTTTATCTATAAAAGCTGTGATTTAACCCCAGCAAGCAACTAAGTACCTCACAGACGCTCGCTCACTCTCCCTCACCCCCTCAACATGGGATGAGGAAGAGAATGGAAAAGATAAAAGTATGAGAACTTGTGCGTTGAGATGAAGACAGTTTTATTAGGTAAGGCAAAAGCTGCACTTAAAAGCAAAGCAAGAAACTGATTTGGTACTTCCTATCAGCAAGCGTGTGTTCAACCACTTCCCAGGAAAGCAGGGATCATCACGTGTAAGTTTCTTAGGAAGACAAACACCATCACTCTGAATGCCTGCCCCCCCCTTCCTCCTTCTTTATCCCAGCTTTTATTGCTGAGCATATGGCCAGTCTGGGTCAGCTGTTCTGGCTGTGTCCCCTCCCATCTTCTTGTGCACCCCTGGCCTCCTCACTGGCAGGGCAGCATGAGAAGCTGGAAAATCCTTGGCTCTGTGGCTCTGTGCAAGCACTGCTCTGCAACAGCTGAGAGCAGTGGTGTGTTATCAACACTACTTTCATCAAAAATCCAAAACACAGCATCACGTGAGCTTCTACAAGGAAAATTAACTCTATTGCAGCCAAAAACCATGACAATAAATTATCTGCCGTATTTGATGCAGAATATATATATGTGAGGTCTTTCTGTATTGAACCATAAGTAGCAAAGTAAAACAGTCCCAGGCAGATGTTTCATGATCATTTCAGACATACGGCTTAATTTTTATGTAGTCCTGTGTTGAGCCTGATTCAGTGATGCTTGTGGGTCCCATCTAACTCGGGATATTCTATGATTCTAAGACATTTAGTAGCCCAAAGCAGTATCAGCAGAAATACAGAACATTCTTCCCTTTTGAGAGCAATGAAATTCTCACTCCAGTCAGAAGTTCAGATTGTTCTGATAGGTCTTTCGGATCTCTGTAATTTTCCTCCCTGACTACAGGATTATCTGCACCACCTTCTCACTTGATGTTTCCTAATCCCTCGTACTTACAGTTCAGCCTTGATCTTGAAGTAAGGGGTTTCACTTCCTTGTAGAGGCAGCTGTCTTTTTAATTCATGCAGCTATCTAGTTCCTTTGTGAATCTTGCTAGGTTTAAGACCTAAACCGTATTCTAAAGGCACTTAGGAATACTGATTATTGTTTGTGTTTCTGTTGCAGAGCAAGAGTCTTTGTACATAGTTTCTGAACTGCCAATTCTAGAACAACATGGGATCGAGGTTGTTCACAAAATGTGGCATCTGCTCTTTCTATTGTCCTTGCAGGCAGTTTGACTTGAGTACAACTTCACATTCTTACAAGTCCTATCTGCTTTTGGGTGTGGTGATCTTTAGAAAAGACATCAGACTAAATAGTCTGTTTAACATGATCCAAGTGCTATCCCCAGAAGAATGTATATAATAAATGGAGACTACAGATCACATCCAGAACTAACAAGCTCCTGAGGAGTTTCCAGGCCTCAGGTCACAGAAGGGGTTTGCTGCTTTCCTTCCGTGTTCTTTCCAACAATGGGTGTGGACACTGTGAATTTGTTCCCAGTTTTGTCATCTTGTATTGTAGAGTAGAAACAGCCTGAGAAGCCAGCAAGTGTTAAGCTGCTTTCTCTAACTTGCCTTTTTACTGCATTATTTCTTTTTTGTCTTCCTTTTAAGGCAAGGAATTAAGTATTCACAAAAGTGGACTACTGATCTCTTCATAGCAAGAGGAAAAACCTGAATATAAAACCACATGTAGAGTCGAGCAGCTTTGTGTTGAGCTATTGGTTTGTTTGAAAGCATATGCTGTCCAAACCAGAGTGCTCAACTTGCAGCCACCCAGAATCTAGCTCCTTGTCCCTTTTGGAAAATATAAGAGTTCGATTAACTCCTTCTTCCCATCCTTCTTTTGTATGCAAAAGACAACATAAATCTCCTCAGCTGTATACAGTTGTCCTCAGTCCTGGGCATATATGATTTGGTGCTTTTTCTCAACCTGTATAGTAGTTCTTCATGTTTATCAGGATCACAGTTAAGATACCACTGAGACAGAAGTCAGGTAGATGAAAATAAAATGTTTCCAAAGGTGATGTAAAAAGACATCATAGAAATGTGTGCCAAAGGCAGGTGGCTGAAGTAGCAGCTGCAGTCTTTAGCCTGTGTATCAGCTAGCACAGCTTCTTGTGCAGACTTCTGCATTTGTATTGTTTCTCATTTACATATTTCTTTAGATGGAAAAGGACATGAGAAGTGACACAGAAGAAAGTGATAAGGATGAAGAAAGAGAAAAGATCGTGGAAAAGGAGAAAAATGGGATCACGTGTTTCAGCAATGTCACTAGCAGCAATTATATCCAGAGGAATGGGTCTGAGACACTGACCAACAGAGCCCATCTCAGCAACGGCCACGTCAAGGAAAGATAGCTACTGCTCACGTTCTGTCTGATCTGGTCTTTAATGAATCCAGTCCACCGTCTTTAGAAAATGTTCTGCTGATTGCGTAGATATAAAGGATTGCCATTGCAGTATCATAGTTGAATTCCTGCTTCCCGTAAACATAATTGTTTATAGTCACTGATATTTGAGGGAAGTTTTTGGTCTTTCTTCAATAAAAGCTTACTATAGGTTGTTGCCTTGAAGCAGATAGAAAGGGATCAAAGTGGTTTGACTTGTATTAGACTGTACAATAATAGCTGTTAAATGTGTTAATCTTGAAAAATACTCACAACAGTGGATAAACTTTGGCAATGTCAAGTCTTAATTGCCTAATGTTGTTTGGTAGGAATCTGTTTATTCTTGATCAGCCTCTGGAGGCCCTGGCCCATTGCCACTAATGATTATGGAAAGTAAGTAAGTGTGAAACTCTAAATCTTATTATAGGAACACCTCTTCCAAGAAGACAAGTACCCCATACTTACTCGTAAAATTGAAACTGTGCATAGTGGAATAAAAGCTTTGGGAAGACATAAGAGAAAACTTTTTTTTTTCTGACAGGAAATGCTCCTGTGTGCCATGTACATGTGCCAGTTTTGTAATTGTATGGAACTCAGTCCCTTCTATTGTCTCAAAGATGGAAACTCCAAAGCCCAGTCTGATGACAGTTCCCACCCAAATCACGGTTAGAAGAGCTGGAAAATCCAGGCAGCTGTGTCTCAATTGCCAGGTAATCCGTTAAACCTGTCTTGGAAAGGAACACTGTCACAAGGGAGGGGACAAGAAACTAGATGCTCTAGAAGACAACACTGATTAAGTGCTCATGTTTTTATCTAGTGTAATTGGCACAGTGGAAGATGTTTACAGAGTCAGCTTGGTAAGAAGGGAATCGATTACCCCTGTCCTCAGAGGAAAAAGGATCCAGAGAGGATCTGCTGAACTTCATGAAATAATGCTTTAACTTAGCCTTCTAAGTCTAGGGCCTTTGTCTAGATGTGTCAAAAGTAGAAAGTTTAAAGCAGTGGACCATGAAGTTATGATGCAGTTCTGATTTAGTTCCTTTAGTTGTTCTGTATTTTATATCATCCAGTGTAGTACTAGATCTTTGATTCTGTAATCTCTTAAAAGAGTTAAATTAGTACGGCATGGATTTCTGTCTTATAGATCAATTAAACTATGAAACCAAAGTATTAACAGATTCACTGTTATGAGAGTAGGGACTTAGACTGCCAAGGCCATGCGGATACTTCCCTGTATATACCTGGTAAGGTTCAACACTAATGGGGGGACACGGACCAAGAAAATGCCTGATTCAAGGAGATGGTGCACATTGTTAAAGTTAAGAGGCAAATGACAGTCTAGAAGGACAAGAGCATTTTCAGCAGCCCACCAAGTTGAAATGCAGGAAAGATTTGATCTGAGCCTTTGATCTTACATTTTAGTCAAAATGCATTGGATAATTTCAGAGGAGAAAGTGGTTCTAGCACAGGTGATGCCAGGGCAGCAACATGCTCTGGAGCAGACCATCATCGTTTAAATTCATATTTGTTGAAGATAGTTTCCCTCTGAAATGTTGGGCTAATTCAAAGTTCAAAGTATATGTTCTGTATTACTGTCATGTTTCCTTAATCCATACGTACAATCTTGCCACTCCTCTGCAGGTGATGTGTTCAGGAGGAATGGATATGTATCATTTTGTACTTCTGAATGTAAAAGATCTTTATAAATTACTTTTGAAAAGTTTGATTGTCTGGGCTCTTTTCTATTTCTTTGACTAGCAGGGGGTAACCTGGCTAGTTGCACCACCTGGGTGGATGAGAGAGTGACACAGGAGACACATACGGATTCCTTTGCCATGGCTCTTACACATCCATGGAGAGGATGTTGCATACCCAGAGCATTCAGCTGTAGTAAGTTATGCCAGTGAAGAACAGCAGCTGTCTTGTTTCACTCCTACTAGGTAAAGCTGCGTGTGGCCCTGGATCAGGACACTTTGGGGCACCCCTACATTAAAGCTAGGGGCAGTCCAGGTTACCTGGCACTGCCAAGGCAATTGCAAGTCCATGACTGCAGCACTGGGAAGATGCTTTGGAACTGCAAGGTCATGGGAAGGGAGAAGAATGCCTGGCCTTCTTTTTAATGAGGTTTCTGAAGGGTAGGAAAGATCTATGTTGTAAAACCACATCTCACCTGAGAAGCAGAATGTTTCCCAGAGACTCTGTGATGCACTGTAGAGCCAATACAAATATACACTAATGTCTGCTGAATTTTACCCTCGGGGCTATGCTATCCCCCTGAAGATGGAGATAAGCTTTTGCCAGGCTCATTAGTAGGTAAATCTGTTCATTGTGAAAGGATACATCAAGGATTCAGGAGGGCTGTTGGGGTTAATTAAAAACGTTTTTAACTGAATAACTGAGTATGAGTGATGAGTCACCAGGGCAGATCACACTGCAAAATTTGTTTTCTTTCCTATGCTATTTGCTATGGCTTAAAGAAGCTGTGTGCAATCAGTTTGCTCCCCACAATGGCTCCACCTTCTTTCCTTACGTCTGCTCTGGTATTGGGAAGCTTATGAGTGCTGCGTAACAACTCACTGCCACCACCATCACCTGCTGATTCCTCTTGGAGTATCACAGCCCCCTGCACAAAGAAGCTGCTGTAAAAACCTGCAGCGAGAATCCTTGTGATTTGTCTGTTAAAGAAACCAGCAAAGCAGATAAAGCAGTGGGCACCAGAGCAGGATCTACTTTCAATGCATCTTAATCATCCACGCGCACAGGAAAGGTGTGCATCACATAAATGTCATCAAGCAGTTGTGGGGATGGGGTTTCCAGCAGCAGGTGAGCTATAAGAGATGCATTGAAGAGTGTCAAGGACTGGCAAAGCATGGCCCCCAGGGCTGGCAGCTAACATGGGTCTACCAACTCCAGTGACACAGGTATCTAGTACTGTTTTGGATCTTGTTTTAAGAGCAGTTTGCTTCATGCCTTCCCTTGCACACAGGAAACATGGGCAATGTGCATCCACCATGTTTTTATCATTCAGACATATGCCCAAGGGAACTTTTACTTGGATGACTACACTTTGAACAGCATTGCTTTTCTCATTTGCACGTGTGCAACAGACACAGTGCCTGCAGGTAAGGGCGTCCCTAAGAAACAGCAAGGCATTGTTCAAAAAGTCAAAGTCATGTCTAAACACGGGAAGTGGAAAGGACCTGTAACTTTGGCAGATTAATCTGAACAGGCAGTAAAGCAGGCCAAGAAATATATTGAGAAACAACTTAAAAGGCAATGACAATCTCTGAAAAACACTGGAAAGACTGTAGGAATCATAAGATTATCAAAGCTGAGACAAGATCAGGCTAGAAAAAGAAGAAAAAAAAAAGAATAAAAAGTGCTGCCTGCGACTTCTCTGCTTAGAAGCAGAGGGGAGCCAATATCAGATGTCTTCTTGCTGAGGATGTGTCTCTAGAGGACTCATCCAAAACTGATGGGTGAGAAGATGTTATATAGCAAAGTAACTGAGTAACAGCAAGCCTTCCAGCTTGGGTGGTATTTGCTCAAGTGTCAAGAGGAAACTTAAGAAAAAGTTAAACCAGGCATTGTGGAGTGCCATTTTGTTGTTGTTGTTGTTTCAAATCATCTTGTTGTCCAAAATTTAGGGAGGTCCCAAGTGGGAATGTGAGGAGCTTCTGACATCTGTAGCTTGACACCTTTTCTGGTCAGATTGGTTAAAATATCATGAGTAATGGAATTATAGGAAACGTGTATGAACATGACATTATGGCAAAAAATCCTCCTGGTTCGTGTATGAGGAGATCATGTCTTTACTGGAGTTATCCCAAAGTGTCAGTGAACACAGGCACAGGAGAAACCCTGTTGATAGTGCGTGGCTTTGCAGAGGCATTTGGAAAGATCTCTCACCAGAGATTTAATGAAATCCACCCCAGGTTACCATGAGAGACCAACAAATTTTTTGCAATTATGATTGTTAGAGAAGCCCCATAAATGGGGAGCTGATTAATAGGTGAGAGCTTTGCAGCCTGGGAAGGAAAAGGTTGGTATGAAGAGGGGGTGAGATAGATGCCCCTGCTGTTATTGTCACTAGGAAGGGACTTCAGCTGTCTATGCACTGAAGTATAATTGAAGACAGCCACCTCCTTGACACCCACTGAATGACTTTCTTGTACTAGGACATCTTACTCCACCTCTAAGCTCATGGGCAGGTCAGAACAAGTGATGCTATTTCAACTAGTTTAAAGTCGTAGTCATGGATTGGAGTGAAAGGTGTGGAGTGTGAGTGACGAGCTGTGGGGCTGGGTGTCCCGGAGCGCTGGAGTCCTGGCTTGGGAGTGAGTTTTACGTCTCAGCTGTATTTGTTTTTTGAATCCCTGAGCCTCTGCTGTGCTCCCACAATCTAGACCAGGATGGGACTGTTAGAGGAGTTCTGGCACCACAAGTACTGGCTGCCACCTGGAGCTACCTGGGAAGACATGAAGGATTCTGCTGATGTTCGCTACCCAAAACCTCAGGACCTCTTGCTCTGCATCCCTGGTGCCCTGATCCTGATCATTGTCCGATACATCTTTGAAAGGTGAGTGCAGCAAATCCAGCCTCTTCTGTGCTGTCATCGGTGTCTTGAAGGGTTGCTCTGGACTTCTTACCCACCTCCTAACCACTACAAAGGGGGCAGGGAATTCTCCCCAGGAATACTGAAGCTTTCTACTTTTTGTGATTTATAGCATTTGTATGTCAGCAATTTGCCCTGCCATCTCTCATTCCTGTACCCGTAACATAACCTGTACTACTGGGAGTGAAAAGTCACTCAGCTGTACCTCAGCTGTGTGGGGGAATTCCCCCGGGAGAGACAGATCTGGGCTCTTGAGAGACCAGCTGGGAGCATGCAGCACAGGATAAGGAATTTGCTGGGTACATCAGGGTTGGGAGACCCCAGATGAGCCAGGCTTCAGCCTGGTCTTAGAGGGTACTCCCAAAGATGCTGCATGAGTCCCCAACTTCAGCATAGAGGAAGGAGAGGGCAGCCATGGCTCCTGCAGCTTCTTGTAGGACCACCCTGTTCACACCACTCCTTCCCCTCAGCCAGTTCTGCCCTCCTCGCTCCTCCTGGCACCAGAGGTCCCCAGTTCATGTACTACAATGCCCTAGCTATGGGCATTCACACCTCCCCAGCTGAGGGAAATGGTACTCCCAAAGGGGACCCTGCAAACTGACAGGCATCTCCTTGGAACCTACGTGTGGGAACAATCTAGGTCCACATGGCTGAGCGCAGGAGATGGATCCAGATTGGGCTTTGGGCCCCTTTTCCAGAAAGTGAGACTGACATGTGGAGAGGTCCAGCCCTCACCCAGAGGAAATCAAGGGGTTATCAGTTAAAGCAGGGCAGGTGCTGACACGGACAGGCCTGCCAAGATGCTGCCAGCCAGGCAGAACAGGACAATGGTGTGTGTGAAGCAGGAAGGCTGTGCTCAGCAAACCTGCCCTCGGCTGGAGTATGGGCCTTCTCCTGTGGCCCAGAGAAGCTGGGGGAGCTGGGGAAGCACTGTCCCACCTCTCTGGAGAGCTGGCTTTTGGCTGCTGTGTTCAGCTTTGTGAGAAGCTCTGGCAAAACAGGCTGTAGGAAGAGCCAAAGAAACACAAAGCAGTCAGACCCCAAGGAAAGCTCTGTCCTGGGGATTATCAAAACATCTCTCCACTACCTGAAGGCCTTCAATGGCTTAGCAAATCCCATGTATTCGTGGGTTTCAAGAATCTTGAAGTCTGGCCAATGGCCAGCACTGCACTCCCAAACAGGGTCTCACTTCCAGGTTAACTCCGTATGTGGAATGTCTGAAGAGCTGTAAGGAAAGACAATGAGAGCATAGCAACCCCGTCCCTCCCCCGCCTTGGTATCAAGTCAATAATTATTATAATTAATTATTGCTTACTGTTATTAATTGTAGTATTATAGAATCATAGTATCGTAGAATCATAGTATCATAGAATTATTTAGGTTGGAAAAGATCCTGAAGATCATCAAGTCCAACCACCCATCTAACTGCCAAGTCCACTGCTAAACCTTGCCCCTAAGCGCCACATCCCCATATCTCTTAAATATGTCCAGCGATGGCAACTCCACCACCTCCATGGGCAGCCTAACCACACTTTCTGTGAAGCAATTCTTCCTGATACCAATCTAAACCTCCCCTGGTGCAACCTTAGACCATTTCCTCATGTCCTATCATTTGTCACCTGAGAAAAGAGACTGGCATGCACCTCACAGCAACCTCCTTTCAGGGAGGTATAGAAAGCCATGAGGTCTCTCCTCAGCCTCCTCTGCTCCATATAAACAATCCCAATGCCCTCAGCTTCTCCTCATATGTTTTGTTTTCTAGTCAGCTTCATTGCTTTTCTCTAAATGCATTCCAGCAACTCAATATCTTGCTGTGAGGAGCCCAAAACCGAGCACAGCACTCAAGGTGTGGGCTCACCAGTGCCAAGTACAGGGGGACAATCAGTTGCCTAGTCTTGCTGGCCACACTATTTCTGATGCAGACCATGATGCCCTTGGCCACCTGGGCACACTGCTGGCTCATGTTCAGCCAGCTGTCAACCAGCATCCTTGTCTGCCAAGCACCTTTCCAGCCACTCTTCCCTCAGCCTATAGGACTGTGTGGGGTTCTTAAAACCCAATTGCAACATCCAACATTTAGTCTTGTTGACTGCACATCCCAATAGGATGTGGCCCATCAATCTAGACTATCCAGATGCCTCTTCAGAGCTTTCCTACCCTCATGATCAACACTCCCACCCAAGTTGGTTTAATCTGCAGACTTACTGAGGGTGCACTCAATCCCCTCATCAAGATCATTGATTAAAATGTTAAACAAAACTGGCATCAACACTGATTATATTTGTTGGTGTTGTCTCCACTGCACATCCAGCATTCCTCAGCATTGCCTTGGTGCCATTGTGTCTCTCAAAGAAGAGCACTGACCCAGTAGAGGCACTAGGCTTTGTATGTGTCCCTGAAGCGGTGCTGGACCCCTGGGGTTGGGTAGGTCTGCACCCAGTGGGGCTTTGGACTTCTCTGGCAGAGTGTGTGCAGCCAGAGCAGTGCTGAACCCCTGGGGTCCATGCACAGGATACGGAGCTGGCACAATCTTGCTGTGGGCTGGCCCTAGCTCACAGTGAGGGTGCCCACATCCTCTCCTCTCTGAACTTTCTTTTTCTATTCTAGAACCATAGCTCTACCCCTGGGCAGGAGGCTGGGTGTGAGAAACAAGCCGAGGCGCAAAGCTCAGCCCAATGCCACGCTGGAAGACTTCTACAATCTGATTGGCAGGACCCCAAAGGAGGTGAGTGTCGCTTGTGTCCCAAGAGCCCAGCTAATCAATACCTTCTTCCCCTACAGGTACCCCAACCCAAGCACACCAGCCACACAGGCATCACAGTTACTGCTAACCACCATGCTATGGAAGAAGCAGATACTTCTGCACCTTCCAACATATTGAACAGCTACAATCTCGGCATCACCTGACTGACAGTTTATCAGATAGAGCAGATAGTGTGAGAGGTGCTGGCTTTCCTAACGAGCCATTTTGAGTAGTGCCTATAGATAGGACTCCTTTTTAGCAGAACCACAAGTCCTTCAAATCATTATTCACATTGTTGCATGTTCCAGGATTTTTTAAATAATTATTGACTTAAATAGGTATGAAGCTTTGTCAACTTAATTCATAATCACTGTTTATAAATCATAAGACTAGGTAGTTTTATTTGGACTTTATGCATAAAATAGAGCATGATGGAAATGGTGCTTTTGAGACTGAATACACAGTTGATCAAACAGCTGGATGTTTTATCTGACATTACCAAGTGATTCCTTATCACAAACCAAAACTTTTTTTAATCTTCATTTGTCATCTGTAGCCGATAATCATGTTAAACATACATCAGAGATGAAAAAAAAAAAAAAAAAAGGTATTTAGGCTCTTACCGCAGATGTTGAATCCCATTGTGCATAGCTAGCAAAATTTAACCAGGGAGAGCCTGTGGTAAATTCTGAACCTGTATTTACATATTGCTGGATTGGAGTTTTAAAATGTCCAAAATGATTTGGGAGCTTACAACTGCAAATACAGCTGATCTAATTTTTTTCCAAAGCAATGTGGTCTTCAGGGAAACACAAGCCCACAGGGTAGAGGTGGCCTCTTCCACCCACATGGGGGCAGAAAGCATCAGGAAGGCTAAGTCCTGTTTTCCTGACCTGTTTTCTAGGAGGACCTGATTTCTCTGGCCAAGCAAAATGACCTCCCAGTTAAAAAAGTGGAGACCTGGTTCCGGCACCGGCGGGCCCAGGACCGTCCCAGACTGATGAAGAAGTTCTGTGAGGCAAGGTAGGTGAGCCAGCTGAGGCTTTTGATCACGGAAACCTCCAACAAGGACTGCATGCCATAATGCTGGGAGAGGAACTTTTAAAATGGCCAAATTCCTTCTGACATCAGGAATTTGGGCACAACATGGACCACAGCGGAGCCTGGGTGGGCTGTAGATACCCCATTGCCTTAACAGCACATTTGTGCATGTGCATATATAGCTGAGGTACTGCAAATCTTTATCCAAACGAGTAGGCTCTCCCATGGGCTCTGCAGCTGCTGGGAGAGCACCTGGGAAGACATGATACCACATTTGTTTGTCTGCACTTCATCCTTCTCCAGCTGTTTCTGGCCTGCAGCCATTGTGCCTAAATGTGTCAAGTTTAGCCACTTCCACACAGTTGGGTGCTGGATGCAGTGGCCTGGGCACAGCCTGGTGAGCTATCACAATTCTGGAGGAAGTTTTAATTGCCCATGTTTTTGTTTGTTTGTTTGCTTGTTTTTCTTTTTCAATTTTAGCTGGAGATTTATATTCTATTTCACATCATTCTTCTCTGCGCTGGCTCTTCTGTATGATGTAAGTATGTCAGGTGGGAGACACTGTGATGCGACACCTTTCCAGAGTTCTTCATTCATGGAAAATAAGTCTGATGGTCCTCGGCCATTTCAAGAAACCCACTGACCATTTGTGGCCATGACTAGGGGCTAGACCATGGCTTCAGAACCAAATAAGGACAAATTTCAGGGATGTGGTATGGAAACATACCCAGTCTAAATCCAGCAGAACAGCCCCCTTATCCAGGTACAAACCTGGCTAGGTGTCAGTAATGTGACCATGGTTTTCTTCATCCAACCCACTGTGTATCAACACCCTCCGTGGAACATTCTGTACATTCACTAACGACAAATGCATTTTGCCATGCACTTTCACAAAGTTCAAAGGCAGATTGGCTCTACCACAGGCACACTGACATCATGTGTTTACTTAATGGCAACATGAAAGAGTACTTTATTATATGTTATAATGGCTATGGGTTCTTACTGTTGCCTTCTCTTTGCACAGAAGCCTTGGTTTTGGGACCACACCGTGTGCTGGCTGAGCTTTCCACAGCAGGTGAGCTGCATGTATGTGGTATAATTCAGTTTGGAAGGGGGCTCAGGAGGTTTCTTGTCCAACCTCCTGCTCACAGCAGTCAGCTGTGAGGTCAGACGAGGTCACCCAGGTCTTTTCCAGTCCAGTCCTTCAAGGATGGAAACTGCAGAACCTCTCTGGGCAACCTATTCCAGTGTGTGACTCACGTGATGTGTGACACTGTGTGACACTCATGATGAAAAAGCTTCTCATAATATTCACCTCCTGGCTCCAAGCATGCCCACTGTCTCTCATCCTACCACCATGCACCATGTGAACAGCCTGACTGTCTCCTTGGCCAGCTCCTTGTAGGTGGTCCATATGAAAGAGCAGCAGGAGATTCTCTCTGCCCTGAACAGTCCCCTCAAAGAGTTTCTCTGTAATACAAGCCTGGATGGAAGCTGCTCCATGTGTGTGACCTTGAAAGGGACCTGGCAGTCAGGACATCCCTTGAACTCTTGAACAGGAAGAGAAATGAGAGATGAGAGGAGTCTGACCCGCTGTAGAGGGGAGATCTCAGCTCCTCTCAGTCCCTCTGGGGCTTGTCCTGGCTTTGGAGCAGGCTGCCAGCACACCAGCAAATGGTTCAGTCACAAAGGACAGGAAAATTTAGACATGACTAAGCCCTGCTGACCTAGATGCAGTTTTCATGAATACATTTTGCCTGGGAAGAGATTTGCCCTCTCCTGCTCCCCAAGGCTAAGCAAGCGTGTCACTCTGCCTTTTGCTTGTGTTGCAGCCTCTCCTGCCTGCACTGGGCTGGTTCTACCTGTTGGAGCTCTCTTTCTACTGCTCACTGGTTGCCACCCTGCCTTTTGATGTGAAGAGGAAGGTGAGTGACAGCAGCACAGCAGCAACCCGCTGGCTCGGTCAACCTCCACCATGAGGCTCCCCCCTCCCACTATCAGCACCCCAGGGACTCACGGAGCTCTGCCAGGCCTCAAGGCAGGCAAGGCCCCAGGCCACGTACACTCTCTCGTATCCCACCTTTGCATCTCATGACAGTCCCTGTGCCTGGCCAAGGGACACCAAGAGATGGTCACTAGGTGGACATGGTAGTGTGGCCCTTCCCTGCCTTGCTCCCAAGTGCAGCCTGAACCAGAGGACTCTGGTTCAGAGTATTGAGAGAGGAGCTTTGTAAGGAAAGTTTAATTCATGGAAAATACAGAAAATCTGTTTTCTAGCACACTTGCACCTATGTGTACCTCACTGGTATTTATCTACATTTCTGCATGTAAAGCTGTTCCTTTGTCTTGGCTTTATGCATAACACTAGAGAACCACAGAACAGTGGGGAGCACTGCTGTTTGCCATGTCCTAGCAAGCCAGCAGCATCTTTGAATAGGTGCTGCCAGGTCAAGCTCAATGACTGACACAACCTCTCTTCTCATACCAGGACTTCAAGGAACAGATCATCCACCACATCGCCACCATCACCCTGATCTTTGTCTCCTATTGTGCCAACCTTATACGATTTGGGATGATAGTCATGCTGGTCCATGATGCCTCTGATTATATTTTAGAGGTGAGTTACCCTCGCCTAGAAATGCTCATCTATTCTCTTGTCTGTGAGTAGTGGTGGGAACTGTGCTGACCCACACAGGTGGGACACATGTGTGTTCTAGTGCCAGGGCATTTAGGAAGTATCAGATTTACTGTTCTTAGGGAAAAGTGAGTGAGTGCACAGGGCTGGGACAATCTCCAACAAGTCCAGTAACCCTTGCAGGACATGGGAAATCCCTGAAGCCTCTCAGGAGAGTGGTAATAGAAGAAGAAGAACACAGCCACATGGTATAAATGGCAATCTGTCTCTCTACAGCTGGCCAAGATGCTCCATTACATGAAATGGAAGCGGGTCTGTGAAGCAGTCTTTGTTGTTTTTGCTGTGGTGTTCATCAGTTCCCGGCTTGTCATTTTCCCGTTAATGTGAGTTACATTTTAATGTTCTCTTACCATGGGTGTCATGGACTATTTGTACTTCAGGAGAGATGACCCTCCATGGTGAGGGCAGGAAAGGCAGGGAACAGGACACTACAGGTAAGCTCAAAGATGAATCCAGATAGAACTGAGGAACCCCAGAAAAAGCCAGGGTTTTTACATGTAAATTAATCTGGAGTCATAGTCTCTGCCTCTCCATTTCCAGGCTCTCACTGTCTCCTAGGCAGGGACTGTCTCTCCTCTGGAGCTGTCTCTCTTGCTGGGATAAGATGTCTACATGCAGCTACAGCAACTGACAATTCATGAGCTATCATAGCATTGGGAATTTTTTATGACTACCTTTCTCCATCCTTGTAAGGTCACACCCACCACAGTCTGAGGGTAATCCTTCATCTCCTCTAATCCTGCTCAAGACCTGGTGTGACTCTTCCAGCAAGTAGGAAGTGGCCTCCTTCTATTGCAAACACTGGTTCGTACAAGAGAAGGAAGGTACAAATTATGCTGGTTAGAATTTCCCAAGAATTTCTTTACAGACTAAGAAAGTCCTGCTTAAAGCATTATTAAGATAAAACTAATATAGGGGAAAAAAAAAGAAAAAGAAAAAGAAAAAAAAAAAAAAGTAGGAATTTAAGGTGACCCTGCATCTGTTTGAAGTAAAACAGGGAAGTGATGAGTTCAACCTCAGGATTCAGGAGGTCAGACACCGGACATGCTGGGAGTGTAAGAGCAGCATTATCTCCAGAAGTCATAGACACCAGTCTTGGAGAACGGTGTTTGCCTATACACATTTGACCACGCTCCCAGCCTTTAACTATGCTGAAATTGTTCCCCCTTCTTTACGACTTCCAATTTGCCTAGAAAAGCTGATGTCACTTACCTTCCCACAAATTCATTCCACAATACATGCATTATATATAGTCTAAGGTTTCAGTTTTCTTCAAAAACCAAACGCTTTTCTTAGTATGCCTAGAAGAAGTGGGACATGTTACACATGCATAAGGACCAGTCTGCATTGCTGTCCTCTGTTCCTGCCCTGGCTCTGTACCAGCACTGACTATGCTGAGTTTTGAACGTTGGTCCTGCTTCCCTTTAAGTCTGGATGCCTGTGAAGCTGACTTTGCATAACAAATCCCCAACTCTTTGGCAGTGAAACAGCTCCCTCAAAGGGAAAAGCAATAAAAGTTTGAGGCAACTTTCCTGAGAAGCTCAAATAACACTGATTTCTGTTGTCTACAAGAAGTCAAACAAATCCCAGTGACGTGCTGTATTATAATGGAAGAACAAAGCAGATGGATGTTCAGGGTCAGACCAAGGGTCCGTCAAAGTCAGACCCTGTTTCCAACAGCAGCAAGAAGCAGATGTTTAGGGAGGAGCATAAAGGCAGAGCAAATAGATGTTATATCCACCAAATGTTTCCCAGCTTGTAACATCTTAGATTTCATGTCATAGATACTTGCAGAGGAGCGCACATGCCAGTGTTTGTTATTTCTCTCCTGCACCAAATTCTGTTCTGTTCTGTCTGATTTCCACTTCCAAACCAGATATTTATAAACATTGATCAGATCCCCTCTCAGTCTTCTCTTCTCAAGGCTGAACAGACCTAGGTCTCTCAGCCTTTCCTCACAGGGGAGATGCTTCAGGCCCTGTATCATCTTTGTCCCCACTGGACTCTTTCCAAGAGATCCCTGTCTTTTGTGCCAGGGAGCCCAGAACTAGACACAGTACTCCAAATATTTTCCTCCCAGTCTCTCTGACTACTACATTCACAGAAAAGCTTTTAAAGCCAGTATTACAAGTTGCCCTTGGCCTCGCCCCATGATGGAGGCAGTGCTTTGACCTCCCAGTGCTGCCCATGAAGAGGGACCCGTGGAAGTGGGCTGGAGATTCTGCAGGTGAGGAGCATGACTTCTTGCAGAGAGAGCTTCATGTGAACAGAGGGTCTTGCAGGGTGGTTCGTGTCTGCATGCATGGTCAAGCCCGTATGTATAAAAGCAATGCCTTGGGGTACAAAAATATGAACCCTGAATGCTCTGTGAAGGTCTTGGGAAGCCAAGTTCTGTCTCTGGCCCAGGGAGGACCGCTGCCAGGTGGTGGCTTCCTGCTGCTTCTGGGAAGAATTGCAGATACACTTTGCAAACAGACCTATTTGAAAACACTATTGTATGGTAGGCAATTTTAATAGGTCTTCTCCAGGTCTTCTGAGACCTGGGATATGTTTTGTGAAAGATGGGTGAAGTCTTTTTCTGGGACAGAGCAAGAAGTCATTGACGTGAAGCATGATTGCACAGGCCTAGCACAGACTGGTTCTTCCCAGGGAACCCATGAGCCAACTATTTGCCCAGAAAGTCTTTTGAGCCTTGTAATTGTGAAGACATGCAGACTAACTCATCTCTCCCTCTCTCTCTCTCCCACAGCACATACTATTACTTTGTGACAAAATTTCAGATGTTCCTCCTAAGCTGTCTGATAAATGCTTTCCTGATGATCCTGCAGTTGTTGCACATTTTTTGGTCCTATCTAATCCTCCAGATGGTCTTTGGTGTCATCCTCCACGGTGCGGTATGAAAAATCTTTTTCTCCTCTGTGCCACCATTACTCATGAGCAACCCTGAGATCCACAGTGGTCCCTGCATGCCTGCAGGGAAGGGGTGGGAGAAGTGGGACTACTCAAAAAAAACAGCCCAAAAGCTTCTGAAGGCACATGGTGAGAGTTGTATAGATACCATTGTTTATGGGATGTCATTAAAATTCAGTTTTCAGTGCACAAGAAGTAGCCATGACTATCGCCTTCCCAAATAACCAACTGCCCTCAGCACAGGGCAGCAGTAGACTGAACAAATACATATTGACTTTCAGAGCTTCAGCATTAAAAAATTAGAGAGGCATATATGCGGAATAACTATATGTAGAATTAATTAATTAGAATTGTAATTACATTACAAGACTATTATAATAATCACCAAAAAAAGAAACAAAACATATTCAAAAGTCAGGAAAACACATAACAAACTCCAGGTAGTTTAAGTCAATCTCCCAAATTCAGGGACAACCACACTGATTTCAAGGATATGATCTCAGCTATTGTTTTTATTTTACCTCTCAGGTTAACATGCCAGTGCACCGAATGAAAGCAAAACCAGTCCCCTTTAATGTAGCAAGACATCAGATTTGCAGCTTATTTAAATCATCTTTCTCTCCTACAGAAAAGAAAAGACGCAAGAAGTGACACCGAGGAAAGCGACAGGAGTGAAGCAGAAGATCTGACAAAGAGCAAAGAGTAATGTGGGGCTCATTGCAAAATAAAAAAGCCAGACAGACTCTCAAAAGCAGGAAGGCAGAACAGGACCACGAGGGAGAGACCAGACAGGCTCACAGATCCCTTTGCAGCGGTATATCTGAGGCATCATCCAACATCTAGAAGAAAGAAAATTTCATCATAGAGTTTCCAGGCAACAAGTAACTTCAGGAGATGTTTTCTTCACCTCTCCTGTTGGGAACATCACTTTACTAACACTCTATCCAGAAAAAAAATTGTCAATCAGCCACACTCTCACTAAAAACAGGGTAAGAGGGATTAAACAATCTGCTGAAGTTATAACACTTAGCTGTGGTTATCTCAAAACCTTCCAAAAGGTTCATAAAATAATCAATTACAATTGCTGAACATTTATCTGAACCACAATTTCAGAATATGTTGGCAGTCAGTGCTAACCACCTTATGAAAAAAAGTTGCATGTAAAAACCACTTGTTTTAACTGCCAAATAAGCTTCTAGTTGTAGAGTCCAAAACTGTCAGGTTTGGGGGCAAGGATAGACCATTTCCACACATAAAGCCTGGCCAAGTGAGACAAGCTGTGTTTGCTGCGTGAATTATACAAAATAGCTCATGCATCTAAAAGGTTTTGCTAACTGAATGCGTATTTAGAGAAAATGGTCATAAAACTGAAAGCAACTGAAATTCTTCTGAAGGCACACTTTTCTACTAGTCTAAATGGAAACTTTCCATAGGGATGTATTAATGTTGTTGAGGTTTCATTTTTAAATTCTGAAAATAAGTGTTACAATGCAAACATTTTAATGGGATATTTTAAGGGTTTTTTCTATTTTGGATGACTCTTCACTTTGTAATATATTGTATCTGATATCATTTTCAGAATTTATAGTATAACATTGGATTTAAAGTTTATGTAGAAATGAATTATTACACCTAAACAAGCCCATTTTACCTTGATTTTGCATGATGCAGATTTTTTTATCATCATTTTTTGAAATATCAGTAATGTCAGCTCTTGTGTCAATCAGCAAATCTTTGAAACCTGCTAGAGGTCTGATATCACTGATAATTCAAAGGCCCAAAAACTACAGACAGACAATGTATCTTCATATACGTTTGTCTACAAGCAATATATAGAAACCTACAAATGCTATCTTTAAAAGCTGTTTTCTACATAGGTTTCGAATATGCTTCCAAGGGGTCTGATATATTTTGCACAAACATTAGGGAAAATTAAACCATTTTAGAGAACTGCAAAGAGGTGGGGAATGAAGGATGGTGTCCCCAGAACACTTTATCATTAAGAACCGTGGTCTACCTCCCAGATCTGACCCATCTAAGAAAAATATAAATAATTCAGGAAAGATATGTGAGAGAAAGGCAGAAGGAACTGGAGCCAACATGCCCTTGTCCTGCTGTTTCCTACAGCAGTGCTAAATCCTTAGTCCTGCCCATCAATCCCCTCTTCTTCATAAGCGATCTTTAATTCAGGGTATATGCAGGTCATATACTCCTACATATTTTTTTTTTATTTTTTTAATCTGATGCCATGACTTTCCTGTCTCTCCCAACTGTTCAAAGGACAGAAAACTAGAGAAGTTAGAGGACACAGCAGCCTTTTGTGTAACATCAACGCTGAGGCATTTGTGTACTCTTGTGTACACTGACCACTATTTCCAGTAACAACCTGCAAACTACATGTAGTCGCAAAGGTTTCACTGGCTTTTGCTTCAAGATAATTGCCAAGTAGAAAACAGAACAGCTAGGAATGAAACAGATCTATTTTTAAAATTAAAAATTAAAAAATAAAAATCGCAAATCAAATTCGATACAATGCAGTTCCCGTCATCTGTAAAGCACATGAATTTTTCTTTATGGTTATGTTGGGTCTGGTATCACTCATACCCATGTATCAAACCTTCGCACAGAGACACAGCCACGAATAGGAAGGGGGCAAGGCAGTTTGTTTTCTATGACCTGGCACATATCAACATAGGGATCAAAGAGGACTACAATGGGGAGGGCACTGTTCCCCTTTCTCTGTCCAAGGAGATAAATTTGTCCATTAACAGTGCTGCATCCCATGAAGAACTTCTTGGTCAAGCATTCCTCATCCACACGAGTCCATTCATCTGTTTCCACATCAAATCGAAAAGCTCCCCCTCCTATGGTGTACAGAGCACTATTCAGTGATGTGATGCAGAGGTCATACCTGAGAGGGAATCACAGAATTACAGAAAAATTAAAGTTGGAAAAGACCTCCAAGACCATCTGGTCAAACCATCCCCCGACCACCAATGTCACCCACTAAACCACGTCCCTATGCACCAAGTCCAACCTTTCCTTGAATACCCCCTGAGACGGTGACTTGACCACTTCCCTGGGCAATCCGTTCCAATGCCTGACCACTCTTTCTGAGAAGAAATGTCTCCTAATTGTTTAAATTGTTGAAGAGTAGGGGCATGACGTTTCCATTTTTCCACTCACCAGGGACATTGCCCAAATGCCAGGACTTTTCAACTCAGATGGAGACAGGCTTGGTGACTCCATCGACCAGTTCCCTCAGGACCCTGAGATACATGTCATTAGGTCCCATAGACTTGTACCTGTTTAGAGGCATCAGGTGGTGTTGAACCTGCTCTTCACTTCCAGTGGGTGGGACTTTGATCCCCCAGCCTCCATCTATGGTGTCACAGAAATGAAAGACTTGGGAAGCCCGTCTACCAGTGCAGATGGAGGCAAAGAAGTTGTTGAGTACCTCAGCCTTCTCCATGTCAGTCGTTACCAATTACTCAGCTATTGAAACTCACTCCTAATATAAGAAATTAGCCACCTATAATCACTCACACACTATTTTCACCCCTCGGTTTATCTTCACAAATGTTAAAGGCACATGGTGGCCTCTGGGGACTCCTCCTGTCCCCCCAGCGCAGCAGCCCGAAGGAAGCTGGGTCCTCTCAGTCCTCTCTCGTGCTCTTCCTCGAGGCTCTGTGCAGAAGGGCTGCCACCTCTCGCACAAGGGCTGGGGGATAGGAAAGAAGCACTCACGCAAACTCTGAGAATCGGCAAGAGTTGTTTATTGCCGGGACATCCTGCAGGTGAGCCTGCGGGATGTCCGTGATGTTCGGTGGCCCCAAGCTAACGCTTGGGATGGCGCCTGAGCAACGAGTAGGGAGCTGGGCGGGCACTCCTGCGCTGCTGGTGGTGCTCTCGGATGGAAGAGAGCAACGACAGGCTGCGGCAGTCCCAGGTCCGTTCCGGTGGAGGTGGATCCACTTGCATTTCTTCCTCCACCTCCTCTTGTGGACCCAGCTCCATGGGCTCGACAGTGCTTGGCTGAAGGTCAAGCCAGTCTTTGCCCGGGACCGCCCAAACAAGTTGCCTTCCATTCCGCATATTTTCAGGCCAGGGTGCCGAGCCAGGTGGTCGTCCAGTTCCGCCCGCAGGTCCCATGCCACTGTCAGCCTGATTTTCACGCATGGATTTGAGGCTGCTGACAGTTTGATGGCCACGCCTGGGTCCCACGCTCCATTCTGGACTGTTGGCACGCCTCTGCTCCCTGTGGCTGTCTTCTCGATGCTCCTGATTTTGCCCCATGCCACCGTTACGCCTCTGGGAAGGCCCAGGTCCCCTTTTGGTGGTTGCTTGAGGGGCCGGCCTGTTCCCCGCGTCGTTGTGGTACCAATGGTACCGCCAATATCTGTCAGTGGGGTGGGCGCCAGAGGTCTCTCGAGCACTGATGTCTCTTGTGCTGCCGGCGCTCTCTCTCCACCCACGACGCATCTCCTTCGTATTAGCTGCATTCCTTCTTGGTGCTGTTTCGGACGGCATCGCTATCCTTACACACCAAGAAGGGCCGCTTCTCGCTTTGATGCTTCTAGTTGTCCTCCTGCCGCTTTCGCTGGCTGCCGGAAGAGCTAGTCGCTGAGCGAGTGGTGGGCCAGTGGCAGGGGGCTTGTTTTATAGGGCCCACGGGGCAGTGTTGGCCACTGTGACCTCAGCAAGGCTCTGTGATGGAGTGGCCCACGCGTGGCCAAAGGCGGCTGTGTTGGGACTGGCCTGGAAGATGCTCTCACATAGAAGGAGGAGGAGGGTTGGGGGGGCTGAGGGTTTATTTTTAACACTGTTCTTTAGGTAATTTCATTCTATTATTTATGGAAAAGAACAGAAGCAAGGTGTATCTTCAGCCCTAACTCCCATGTGCACTTTGTGCTCTGAGTGGAGGATTTCTTCCTCACATCACATCTAATCCAAATCTCCCCTCCGTTTGTTCAAAGCCATTATTCCTTGTTCCATCACTACACTCCCTGCTAGAGCCCATCTCCAGCTTTCTTTCATCTGAACTTCAGGTTGCTCAGAGGCTCTAGAGGTCTAGGGACTTGAGACCTCTTCCCAAATAATCAGTATCCACAGTACACACCATTAGCTTCAGCTATCCCCTGCCCCAGTCTCCCCATCTCCAGTGACAGCAGGAACACTACCTACTTGTGTTTACTCAGGTTGCAAAGATATGAAGTGCTCCTACTCCTGCCCAAAAGCACAGCCACTGTCCTATGACTACGGAGCATCATTACAACAATTATCAGCAAGCAAGAAATCAACATTTTATTCTAAGCCTCATGTCAGTGAACAGCATTATCGGGGAAGCTTGCACAATTAAACCATAATTCAGTGGATGGATGTTAAGTACTTTACAGATGAGCAAATTAAGAAAGCATTAGCTGCAGGATTCAAGGGTGCCAGCTAGCGACCAGCGACGTCCTGTGTGTGCTCCCAGCACCCAGGAGGGTCCCAGGCAGCCACCAGGCAGCTGCAGAGGAGTCAGGAGCCACCTCCTCCCCTGGATAATTCTTAAGATGTGGAGGAGGAAGTAGAGACTAAGAGGGGGAGACTTGAAGTCAGAGGCACTGCAGATAATGCAGGATTATGTTTGCTGGAAAGTGTCTTTATTCCTGCTGCAGCATGCAGAATGTTTGCAGTGCTGGCTCTGGACAAAACATCCAAAGCAGCACCAGCTACAGACGGGTCCCGCAGGGCCAGAAAAGCACCCAGGCTACCAAGAGATGCCATGGTTCACTCAGCTACATACCCACTTAGACCTGACTGAGAAAAAACAGTCCTGATTGCTTTGCTGCAAGCTGCTAGAAATAGTTCCATATCTTGCCAATAAATCCCCACCACCAGACTAATGGACAGTGGACAACTCCAGCAGTCTTCCATTGAAATGGAATTTCTTGCACACACAAAAAACGACTGGAAATGGGTGTTGTGGGAACATCCATCTCCTGTCCCATGTGCTGATACAGGGGAAGGAGGGAGGACAGGGACAGTTTGCTTCGAGATGTAACGGAGAGCTTGGCTCTTACACACTTGTGGCTGCATCAGCCCTTTACCATGGATCCCGGATCTCAGGGATGGGAACCGGTCATCTCCTGGCAGCCAAAGCAGCAAAGGATGCCACTGGCTTCAGGAAGCTCTGCCTCAAGCTTTATATATTTCAAATATGGGTGACTTTAAGCTGTTTTCCACAGTCTGTGGATCGTTTCTCTTGCTCAAATAATTTAGCTTTAACCTGAGGCTGTGGGCTCAATCCTTTCTGTCAAAACCCAGCGTGTAGCTTTGCAAGCAGCCCCTGCAGGTATGGGGGAATACAGCATGAATCTCTCTGACTCTTTCAAATTCTAGCAGAGCTGCTTTATGTTTGTAGAAATCAATATAAATAAAAATATATCTGACAGGCTTTAATCTACATTTCTCCAGTATATCATCATCTGTGCTGGATTTACCATCTTATAACCCTCCACTGACTCCTTTCCAGGTTCTTTGCATCTCTCTTGTACTGGAATCCCAAAGCTAGCCACTGTTCCAGGTGGTCTCATTGGTGCAGAGGGGAACAATAACACCCCTCTCTCTTGAACATCTCTCCTCATCAGGTCCCAGATTTCTTACCTTGGAAGCGGCGAAAATGAGATGACATCCCAGCTGTCTGTCTCCGTGTTCAGCCTTTGCACTCCACCATAGACGTGTCCATTTTCATCCAAACCACAGACCACATAGATCCTGGTCCCCACACTGACCGCATCTCCTCTCTCCACAGGTTGAACCATAGGACTCATGCTTTCCCACTGTGGGTCCACCAAAGCCATGCGCTCCACTTCTGCGATTATCCCTTCATCTGTGCTCCCTCCAAGCACATACAGGTAGAGCCCTGCTCCTACTGCACAATGGCTATTGCGAGACTTCTTCATGGCAGGCCCTTCCAGCCAGCTATTACTCAAACAATTGTAGATCAGCACCCAATCGACACTATACCACACAAACTCATCCCGGAAATATCCGCCTGTCACAAAAAGGAAGTTCCCTGGAAAGACAGCAGAGAAAAGGATCAGTTACATAAAGGCTAAAAATTGGTCCTGAGGGCTTTCTTTTTATTATTATTTTTTTTTTCCTCTGAGCTGTACCAGTAGGCTGCAGGATGAGCAAAGAAAACGACTGCTCTTTGTATTAGCAGGCAATATTTGATTCCTCATCTGCCCAGATATGCTGGGCCTACAGGATGAAGCAACTCTTTCCAAGTTGGCTCCCACTCTTGAACAGCAGAAAAGAACTTCTGGGGATCTCACATCCAGCCTTCCACTTGAAACAGGACTATCACCAACACTAAGTAAGGGAAGTCATGGTTTTTGAGCTGTCTTGAAAGTCTCCAAGGATGAAGACATCACAACATTCACAGGTAAATTTATCTTAAAGGCAACTATGAATCAGCAGTCACCACCTGTCAAAACCAAGGCCAAAAAAAATGCTTAAAGTCATTAGACTCACTCCAGATAAAGCTAATGTGAGGAGTCCAATACCAATACATTTATTGTTCCTGCTATAAGAAAAAATAATTCAGCCTTGCCTAACATTCTTCCAGGGCTATGGAAGACAAGGCCATTCCTTGAACACAAGCGAGGTTTTTGGCAATGCTATATTTTATAGGAAAAAGCAGCTGAATTTGCTGCATTTGAGACTCTAAATAAACCTCAGCTTTTCTTTGTGTTTGCTCAGTCCCACTTGTTGGCATCACTTGAGATACAGATCTGCAAGTTACCTACTGCTGCCACTGCATATTGCGTGAGGTTTCTGCGCTGCAATGGAGAGCAAGCCTGCCAGGTCCCTGTTTTAGGTTGAAACAGAAATAATTCTTGTTGTTCGTTGTCATGCTTTCCTCCCAGGACATATAAGGTGTCATAGCTCCGACCAGCATTAGGACACAGCTTCAGATTTTGCCAGCTGGGTGGAGGACAGCTGTCTAACTTCTTTATTAGTCTGGAGAAGGTATCTGACTGTCCATGGCGCTTGCTGCGTTTCACCAAGACATCGAGGAAGGACAAACTCAGAAAAGCGACCCTGACTTCGCCCACCAAATCCAAAAAGTCTTCCTCCCTCGTTGCTGGGTCCTCCATTATCCACCTCACAATACTGTCAAAAACCACATCTTCTCGAGGAACAAATAGCTCATCACTTTTTAGGAAGTGCATCAACGTTTCTTTGGGTAGAGCCTTAAATTCTTCCTGACACAGCACATCCCCCCAGTGGGTGAGAGCTACATTCATAGCAGATGCATGCAGCTCTACAAAGGCAAATTGCTGTGAGTAGGTCATCAGGCCCAGGCAGTTGGAAACATGCAGCTCCCTCTCCAGAAATTTCTCACACAACAGTTTCACCCTGTCAAACTGTAAAAAATCAGCTGTTTCCAGTAAGCTGATCACATTTTCTTGACCTATTAGCACTTGGGCTGTGCGAGTAAACTCAAGAAGTGCCTGAAAAGGTGCTGCATCGATCCCTCTGATCACTATATGGTGCTCGGTGCTCTCTCTTGCACCCCCAAAAAACATTGCTTCAAAATAACGGCTGTGCAGTGAAAGTGCCCTTCGGCTGACCTGAAAGAGTCTCTCTCCAACCTCAAGAACCGTGTCTGCAACCATTTCTGCCTGAGGTCCCAGCTCTTCCGCTTCTTGCATGGACTCCATGTCTGTTGACTGCTGACCAGTTAAAATTAACTCCGTCCCTACGCAGTCTTTACTCATGTGAGGTCTCTGGAAACATTATCCGCCCAGCTCCAGGATAAATACAAGATAAGCCAACCTTAGCCTAAAAATAGAATATGTTTTCCACCCTCCTGCTTTGCTTTTCAGCCTTTCCCGCTGCTTTCAGAGCAGCAATAGCAGGAAAGCTGTTTAACTACAAAGAGATAGATTTAATTGCCACCCACCTTTGCTAGGCAATACCAAAGTCAATTGGGGGAGCTGTTCTCCAAGCAAAAAGCCTAGACTAGGAGGAGGAGGGAGGTAAAACAATCAAAACCTTCCCAAGCACTGACTACACCTAAGGAAGTTATAGATTATCATTGAACCTGCTGGTAGAAGTAAAAAATGACTTACTACAATGCTTTTTATTTCTGAAAAACAAAAACTTAAGACTTTCCAAGAAAAATAATTTCCCCAAAGCTAGATCCTTCACCAATTTAACTGTGATATCAAATTCCAGATTGCTTGCAGTATTTGTTAAATATTTAGCTTTAAGCTTTAATAAGACATGGGGGGAAGGAATGAGCCCCCACGCAAATACCAAAGGCAGCCACGTACCTAGCCAGCCTCAACCTTGATGCACTAAGTCAATAGTCATAGAATGAGCAACAGATCACTCACTGATTCCACACTGTGGATTTCCCAGAGCACTTAGACCAAGCTGTTAAGTGGAGGGATTTGCACCCTGACTTTGAACCAGGGCTACTTACCCTAGTGGTTTTCAACAGACAAAACAGTGCTACATGGATCTAGTACACCTATTTCCCTCTGCAGGTAAGCAGGGGGAAGTGCCAATGGTAGAACAAGAGAATAGCACAAAGCTGCACCAGGGCAGGTTCACACTGGATGTAAGAAAAAAATTCTTTACTGTGAGGGTGGTCGAACACTGAAATAGGTTCCTTAGAGAAGCTGGCGATGGTCCATGCCTGTCAGCATTCAATAGGCACTTGGACAATGCCCTCAATATGCTTTAACTTTTGGTTAGTGCTGAATAGGTCAGACAGATGGACTAGATGATCTTCGAAGGTCCCTTCCAACTGAACTATTCTGTTTTGCAGTATTACATAAATATGTTGGAATGAGCATGACTCTACAGACAGCTATGGAAAACACTTGAAGAATTAACCCCTAGGAGCTGAAAATCCAGAAGCACTTGTTTATACAGGGTTTTATGTCACACTAGACAAATGGTCCCTACTGTCATAGCTCTCTGGACAACTCTGATATACTGAACTTGGATCGACCTACTACAAGTTCCCAATCATTTTAGAGTTGACCCAGGAAAAGCCATGAACAGGTTGCTGTTGCCAAAATGAACAGCCAGTACAGCCTGCCCTTGCCATGCTTTCTCAAAGATGCCCAGGAACAAGACTCCTGCTGCCACCAAAACCCTTCACCCAGCTACAACCTCCTTGTAAAGGGTCCACAGGAAACAGAAAGTAGCAGAAGCAGGTTGCCTACAGACTAGATGCCTGCATCTACTACAAGAGAATCTAAAATGCCTAACAAATGCAGACATATTCACATAAGGGACCTGAAGCTATCATTTTTCATTGCTTTCCTGCCTTAGAATGGAACACTATTTCTGATCTGGTCACTTCTTTTGTTTTGCCCACCCCTTGAACAAGTGTCTTTTAAGTTTAGAAATATGGAGAAGTTGCAATGGCAGATGTAGACCCTTTTTTCAAACAAACAGACATTTAGAAACAAGTTAATTTGCATTTATTCACTCACAAGTCCTGCTATTTGAAGTATAAAAGAAATAAAGTGTTTACTTACAAATCAAATTATTATAGCCATTCCCTCGTGGTTCTGTTATATAAAAATCAGCAGTATTTCCAGACACTGCCTACAACTGAACACGCTTCCTCTAAAGTTTCAACTATCAAACAGACACTTCCATAAGGTTCACATCAATCAGCTGAGACACAATCATGTGACAAGTTAGTCCAATTTTCCTGCAGAAGCGTGGGAGCCTTCCAATTGCAGATTTTTTGGGTTGTGATCTGTGCAACAAGTGCTAGAAAATATCTTCTTAGCTATGTAGCTTGTATAGGTGATAAGGTATCATATGATGGAAGTATTTCTCCTGCATGCACTGGAACAAGCAGGAAAGAGACCAAAATCTAAAGAAGGAAGACTAAAACAACACAAAATGCTTCCCAGCTGAGTCCTGAAAATTAAGAGGAAGAAAAACACATTCTAATCTATCCAGATTCATTTAGTTTAAAAACAGTTGTAATGTATTTAAAGATGCACAACATATAAACAATATTTGGGGCATTCTTTACTAATTTTAATGTGGTTGTTTCAAAATTCACAATATCAAGAGGATTTCTGACAATTCCTAGACAGCATATTCTCTCCTGTCAGCTCTAAACACTGTAGAGCTTCACATTTATTTGAAAAAAGTCAGAACTTCTTGCATACCACACCATTTCCTGCACTTATGGAAAACCACAAAAATAAAAGCTGTTTTTCACACTAACAAACACATGTTCAAACTCCTCCCACAAATCAGGGAGCTTCACATACACTGATAGTTTCCTCCATGATTTGTACCCCCGAAGTCTTCAGAGAAAGCACAAAGCCATTAGCCATCCTGCTGCTGAATGAAAGGGTTTGGAATTGCTTCCATGCCATCCTGTGGACAGATGAGAACCACAGAAGTCCCTCTGCAGACCACAAGTCCCAGCTGACGCGTGTCTTCTGTTAATTTGTATTGATCATCTGGGTCTGAAAAAAAGAGATCCATAGTTACAATGGCAACATAAGGAAGATAAACCAAATTCCCTCAACTTCAAGAAGCACAGATGTTATTTTTCCAGACTTTCAAGCTTGCTTTTTTTTTTAAATTGAGCACAGAAGACTACAGAAATAATGCAGCATCTGACATTTTCAGCACATTATTGCTTTATTAGCTTTCAAAGCAACAAATTTATCTTTTAACAAATTCACTCTTTAATTCACCTAACCAAAAGCATAGATACAAACATTAAAAAAAAGAGGAAGAAAAAAAAGATCCTGATACCATTTCAAATGACCTTACAGACAAACACTTTCAGCGGATTGAAGTGAAACCTCATAGTGGCCTATAGCTTCCTCATGATGGGGACCGGAAGGGTGACAGGACCTGAGGAACAGCATAAAGCTGCTTCAGGGGCAGGTTGGGTATTAGGAGAAGGTTCTTCACTGAGAGACTGGTCAGGCACTAGAACAGGATCCCTGAAGAAACAGTCACAGTTTTAAGCCTGCTGGCGTTCAAGAAGATTTGGACAACGCTCGTGGACATATGGTTTGATTTTCAGGCTGTCCTGTGTAGAGCTAGAAGTTGGATTTGGTAAACCTTGCGGGTCCCTTCCAACTCAGAACATCCTATAACTCTGAAAAAATCATAGCTCTATTAACTCTAAGAAGCTACAGAAGACTTTAGTTCCATGGGTATGCAGAGATTGCATTTACAGTACAGTTTATAAGACTATAAAATACTAATTCTTGCTGAAAAAATGCTTCTCATGCTTTGTGCAAGACTGGCAACCCTCCAGGTCAAAGGCACTCTGCCTATCTGAAAGAGAACCCTTCTTCATTCCAGCTTTATAGGACAGGAGTACCAAATGAGTTATACAGGAGCTCAAGCAAAAACTAACAATGCTCTGCAACAGAAAATAGGCTTAACCTGTGTTATTTCATCCATTCATGCTTCATTCCTGTCAACGACTCTCTATTCAGGTGATGTTAAACCTGCAATTTTTGGTTATTCACCCACAGAGCCGTAAGTTTTCTGTTAAGCGAATCATTGTGGGGGGGGAAAGATGCTTTACAGAGACAGTGTATTACTTACCTCTCATATATTCAATGGTACCATCAAGCACAAGGTTCAGTAGAGGGTCAAATCCTTTCAAGACGCCACTTGCTATTAAAAACCACACACAAAAGAATAATTAAAGACCAAAACCAGGAACACAGAAACGCAGGAGGTTGAGAACTCACTCAGTTCTCCAGATACATTCCCTCCCTCAAGCAAGAGGATCAAAAGAGTGACAGATATTAAACAGCACACTTTATCAAAATGCAGAAGCGTGAGAACCCAGCCTGTGTTGTATTCCAGTTTTTACAACTAATTACAGAAGTGTTAATGCCTTAAAGATCATTTTGAGTTTTCAGCCAGTGTCATGAGCATTTTAAGAATATCTCAGCGTAACAAATCAATACAAAGTCAAAACATAAAATAAATAAAACAAAGACCCCTTACAGAAGTGGAGTGTCAAAAAGGAGGAAAAACTTATAATATCTTCCCTCAGACAATCTATTTTCTAGGCGCTTTTCTGGGATGTAACCTTTTCAGCAAAAGCACTAGCTTTATAGGAATGCACTGCAGTCAGTGGCTCTATTCTAAAACAGAACACAGTTCTTCAAGACTGGTCACTAAAATTGCAGGACTACACAGATAGATCTCTCTTATTGAAAAATACTTGATTATCAGCATTACTATCACTGCTACCAGCCCAAACCAAGGAACAGACTCCTGTATCTGAGATGTTAAATGAAGATTATAAAAGTAATAGCATGATTTTTCTGAGAAGAAAATCTAAACCATTAGACTCAACAGAATTGAACGCTGCTCAAAAACTACCAAAAAACCACCCCCCCACTTAACAGTAGAGTACAAATAACTTCCAAAACTCTGTAAGTATCAGGGCCCACCAGACTTTAAATGAGATTTTTGCAAATTCGCAAAGCTAACGTCCAGCATCTCCCACGCAGCATTTTGTTAGCTTTCAGACAAACAGGTGGCCTGCAGGTGGCACTATCAGATGCTCACGGATGGATAGCTGTAAATACGACAGGAGCAAATACGGAAGGAAACATAACTGCTTTGGAAGTGATGGAGAGACATAGAAATACCTTGAAACAATCTAAGAACTCCAGGCACGTTTTAGCAAGCTAAGAGATGAGAGGGAAGACAGGTGTGTGAATCCTAACACCTAAGAATGTTTCTTTGCTGCTTTAAAAGCACTCTTGAAATGTAAGGAGTCAGGAAAAAGGAACGAGAACTAACAGAAAATGGAAAAAGGTGCACAGATGAAATACAGAGATAAAATCTCAGCCAGGGAATTAACAGAAATATCAAAGGAGATACGCTTCGGACTAGTAAATAGCAAACTGTAATGAATGAAAGCACCCGTTATCCATTGCCTTTCCTTGAAAGAAAGCAGGAAAGAAGAACGCAGCCCCAGAAGCGAAGGGAGTCATAACGTGAGGAGATGCACAGAGAACCTCACTCTGGGGGTACCTGTGCCCGGACCCGGCTCACCTTCTCTCCCCCCTTGAAACTTCACCCGGATCGTTTTGTCGATGTACTTGGAGAGGTCCAAGATGCTCTCCTTCTTCTTCTTCTCCTTATCCTACAGCAGCGGAGCGAAAGCAAAGCTGGGTTAAAGAGGAGCCTCCCCCAACCCAACCCAATCCAACCCAACCCCCCCAACCCCCCTTCCCTCCCGGTCAACTCAGGCGCTTTTTACACCACCCTCTTTACAGCACCGCTACAGAAATCACCCCGAGGCAGCTCCGGACGAGCGCGGAGCGAGGGGAGCAGCTGCCCGGCGCCCCCCGTGGCGGCGCAGCCCCCTCCTCACCGCCATCTTGCCCGCGCCGCCACCGCCGCCGCCGCCACCCCCGCCGACGTTCGCCATTTCATTTGCCGCCGCCAGAAGTGACGTCGCCTCCCGGGTAAACACCCATTGGCTGGCCGCGGGGTGAGGGGCGGGACTTCCGGGTCTGGTTGCTAGGCAACCGGTGCGGAAGGGGCCCGGCCTGGCCCGGGCGGAAACAAAAGCGGGCGGCGGCGCGGCGGGGCCCGGGATGGCGGCGCGGCGGGCCCGGCTCCAGGCCCGGCTCCTCCTCCTCTTGCTGCCTCAGGTGAGCCGTCGGTGGCCGCCCCCAGAGCGTCCTGGGCTCTCCCTGCTGCTGGGGGTGCCCTGCTGGGGTAGGGGCATTGGGTAGATAACGGGAAGGGGCCGTGACCGCAGCCCCCCCCCCCCCTTATGTGCTGTGTGTTCTCTGTGAGCTATCAGTGTCCGTGCGTTATTACTTTGTTCCGCAGTTGTCAGCGTGTTCTTTATCGTTCTTAAAGCGTCGTGGCTTTGCTCAGCCCGAGCCTTCTGCAGGCAGCCCCTTGGGAACAGCGCTCGGGGCAGCGGATGGGTTTGGGGCTGGGGTCTCCCCCAGGGTGGGTTTTGGCGTTGGGGTCATCCCAGCCGATGGTTCTTTGAGAAATCCCCCGTAGTAAAACAAACGGGGCTTCTCCTGAGCCCACAGAGAGCTTTGATCCCTGCGTTCTTCTCCTGTAGAAATAAATTTTGTGGGACAAACTTTCCCAGGTCTTACAAACACATGTGACAAGTCGTGCAAGTAATCCTGACACAGGAGAGAATGGGTTTTTTAGCTGTTGTGTTGTGGCATGGTACGTAGTTTGTGTATTTTAAGCTCGGGTGTTCTGCATTCTGAAAGTATCATTAAGATATCTTAAATGCTTACAGGTACTCTGTAGAGCAGCATTTTGTCTTGGGTCTTCTTGGTGCAAGATCTTAATGTGATGATTTGATTTTTCCCTCTTACTGTCTCCTTAATGTTTCCTTGTAAGCAATCTTTGGTTACAGAATGAGCTGATTACCAGTTAACGTACTTTTTTTTCTTACATCTGCATAATACTTTCTCCTCCTCATTTTTCACCTGCCTTGTGCATTTTGCAGTTTCTAGTAATGCTTCACATGTACTGGTAGTGCCAACATGAGGCCCACAGATTAATAAGGTATAAGAAGGGGTTGAGGTCTGGCATGGAGTTCACCATCACCTTTGAAAAAGTGACACCTGTCACTTACCTATTGTAAGCTACTAATGTTTCAGGTGTCCAAGCTGGCTTGTTCAAAAACTATTTGAAGAGCTCTGATTTTGCAGTGCTTTACATCTCTTGTACTTGCCTGTAGGAGTTCTAGCTAGTACCTCATCCTCAGCTGGAGGCAGGGAAGAGTGCTGTGATGCACTTGTACTGAAGTGAGCACGAGTGACCAATGGATGGGATTATTCCAGGAGGACAAAGCTGACAGCTCTTACAATGAGTTGTGTGTATTTACTGTGTGCTAGTTCTACTTGTCATATATTTACACAGACCAAGATATAACCATATATTTATACAGACCAAGGTACTGCTTATGATGTAACTCAATGAACCAGTGTCCCTAAGGCAAGGGCAAGGTAATAACTTGCTGTTCCTGTACCATGGTCTGCCTCATTCTTTTCTGCTGGCATTACTAGATTATGCTAGAAACTGGAGTGTTGGAATGATAAACTTAATGCTCTAGAGATTTTTTTTCTTAGTTTTGATTATTTCAGTGACCTGACTCAAGCCTAGCTCCCCAGCCTGTTACGTTGGCAGAACTGCGAGGGCTGTGAAATCAGAGGCAGATCATGAATAAGTCCTGTCTTCTCCTCTAGATAACTGCCGTACAAATTTATAGCCCTGTCTTGTAAAACAACCTCTCTATGTGCATCCAGACTTGTGTGACCTCCTTATAGTATAATTTGCCCTTTTCTGTGTTGCCTTACACTTTCACCATGAAATGTAATCCCTTCGTTGTACAGGCTGTATTGTCCTGCTGTGACTCTTTCTTCCTTCTGTGGAAAAACAAAGGTTTAGATAGTTAAAGGTGTATGGGGTGCCCAGGTGAGTTTGGAGACATGGCAAAGACGAGCAAACAGCGAGAATGAGCCCATAGGTTGGCTCAGTTGCTCATGTTGCAGACTTCATGCTTCTGTGTGAGAACCTTTACCTTGTTTTGCAGCTTTGTATTGTAAATTCTGTTGTTTGTAGGGCAGTTTTCAGAAAGCCACCATTCTAGCAGGTTGCCATCTCTGCAGAAATCTTGCTTGTGGGGATCTCTGGATGTCTGATTGTAAATGTTCTGTTACCATACAAGCATTCTTTATTTACATATGGAAAATGGATAATTCCCTACTGAACTGGGAGGAGTTACTTCTATTTGAGGCTAAGAAGCCTATTCCATTTTAAGCTTGTCACAATCTTCTAAATCATATGTACTGTATGAAGCAAGAATCTGAAAACAATTTATCATACCAGCTGTTATTTTTTTCCTGCAGATTTGGATATCAAGCTCAGCCTTTTCCAAAACCCTTGGAAAAGTGCTTCTTGGGCTTGTGGGAAGGTTGTACAGGATCTGTGGAGGAGATTGTTTCCTCATAGGTTAATCCAGGATATGGAGTGATCTCTAGGAACCGTGAACAGTAACAAAGGTTGCCGCTGTCCCAGTGCATCAACCTCACTGCTTTGAACTTCCTCTGGCAATGTGATGCCTAGTGATGTAAACAAAAACAAAACTGGAAGCATCAAAGCCCTACAGTGCTGACAAAAAGAAACCCTAATGCCCATGATTCTCCTTAGGTGGAAGAGAATGAGAACAGGATCGAAGTGGTTGTTAACAGACTCCAGAACTATGCTTTGATGCTAAGTGATAATTGCATTGTAAAAATGTTTGTTAATCCCCGTTCATTTCTGTCCTCTGTGGACAATCTGTAACTCCTTACACCTTCTGCTTTCAGCCTTGATCATATTCAATTTAATTCCCCTCATCCTTGATTTTACTTGTCTTTTGGCACACAAGTGCACAGCTTTCTGAAGTGTTTTGAGCACTGCACAGTAGGAACCTTTTACTCCCCTAGTATTTCTTTTAAGAACCATTAAGGTGCTCAGAAAGCCTGTGTATTGCTGTCTTCAGTGTGGCTCTTGGGGATTCTCATGAGTTCCAGTCATATAAATGGAAATGGAGCAACGCACCCTATGCCTATTCTCTCCTCTTAAAGATGTGTAGTTTCTGTTATAAATGCCAGATCTTTAACTGTACAAGCTGATGGTTGTTCAAATGCATAAAGCCATCCTGCTGCAGGTGGCTAGCACCTGCAAAACTGCCTGAAGCATTTAGAGATAGCTGTGCATGTAATATTCAAAACCAAGCTGTCCAGGTTTTGGATGAGATCATGTAAGCACTGCTCAGCAATAGCTAAAACACTGGTGTGTTAGCAGAATTATTCTCATCCTAAATCCAAAGCAAAGCACCATGCCAGCTACTAGGAAGAAAATTAATGATGTTCAGGACTTCCCAGCTTCTAATGCTGTCCTGGCAGTGAGAGGACTGGAGGTGCACAAGAAGCTGGAAGGGGACACAACCAGGACAGCTGACCCAGCCTGGCCAAAGGGGTATCCCATGCCATGTGTTGTCATGCTCAGCAATGAAACTGGGGAGATTGGCCAGAGATGGGGCCCTGTTGCTCAGGGACTGGCTGGGCATTGGCAAGCAATTGTGTTGTGCATCACTTGTTCTTTTTATATTCTTTTATTCTTATTACTTATTATTTTCCCTTCCTTTTCTGTCCTATTAAACTGCATTTCTCTCAACCTGTGAGTTTTACCTCTTTCTGATTCTCCCATCCCATTGGGGTAGGGTGAGGGGAACAAATGTCTGTGTGGTGCTGAGCTGCCTGCTGGGTTAAACCACAGCAGTCCTTTTTAAACCCAGACAGTTTCTGTAACAATAAGCAGGAAGAACTCTTGTTCTGGTCATCTCTATATCTATACTAGGGTCTCTGTGGCATGTTACTCGTGCAAGACAAGTTCAAGATAATGACTGTGGGCTATTATTTAGCGATGCTTCCTTTTGTTGAAATGAAAGTGGTGTAGGTGCTGTGGTTAAATAGCTCAGATATGAGCTAAAGAAGCACACTGACAAGTAGGTATCTCTTTCTTGTTGTTTGGTTTTGCTAAATATGTTTGTTTTTTTTTCCACCACCATTCTGCATGGTGATATCTCCCTTTCCAAAGCAGCTGTGCCTTGAAACTTGCACTTTGGTCTTAATCAGCAGGGCCTTAATCAGCACTGAAATAGGCAGCGTAGCCTGCTATGCCCAGCACACTTCAGGACAAATCTGGTGTATTTTAGAGAACCGAATGAACACTAATACTGAAGAAGAAAACTGCTGCATCAGTTATCCAAAGTTAATTATACATAAGAGCTAAAGATCAAATATTTCTACATCCTGCATATTTGGGGTTGATTTTTTCTTTACCCCTTTGCTGTCAAATGGTATAGTTTATTCTCCAGGCAATTTGGAGTTCGCTTACAATTAAAGACAATTCTTCAAAGTGTTCCAGAAAGCATGCTCGCTGCAAGTGTTTTCCAGGGGTGCAGCGGAGCATTCACTTAGTAGGTTTGAAATAAATGGGGAGAAATGTCTGAGGGATTCTTCCAATGAATTTTAGTACAAGCACGTTAAGATTCAGCTTTGCTTCCAGGTGTCTGTCATCTTGTTTCTCAGCAGCTACTTAAGACACAAATGTATAAGATGTATTTGTACAAGCGTATTGTTATCAAACCATTAATTTGTTTAACATATGAATGTTAGAAGGAGATGTGACAGGCTCATCTGTCAACACCTTTCTATCTAAAATTGTTAGTCTAAACCAGCACAGCAGTGTGGTTAGGGATAGTCTGTTGAGTTTCTCTCATAATCTTGAAATCTTTCAATGCATCCAAGTTTAAAAGAGAAAGGGTCTTCCAGATGACACGTGTGCTTCAGATGCCGAGGCACATTTTAGGGTATCTACACGGAGGGATCTTGTGAATATACAGGCTGCTGGAAAAGCTCTGCTCATAGAGTGCTGGACAAGAAAAAATAGCCAAGAATGGGAACAGAGGAGCTGGGTCTTTGGGTAGGGGGTAGTAGGAGATGAAGGCAGTTGGTAGGAAGATAAAATGAGTTGGCTTTGAGTTGTTCAGCACAGGGCTATAAAAGCACTGCTAGGCTGGATTAAGGGAGAGAGTGTCTCTAGCTTTCCTCCTTCTGTCATGCTGGCTTTTGGGTTTTGTCTTGCCAGTCATTCTTCCTGCTCTGCATCTGCACTTTCTGTGAAACCCCTGAGGAGCTGCATTTTAGGTCTGTGATCAGAACAGTGTAGGTGTTAGCTGTTGCTGATCAGCTCTTGCATGGTGTTAAGACCTTTGCTGTTTGTTACCATCCTGCATCCCTGGCAACTAGGCTGGGGGGGTGGGCAAGAGGCTCAGAGGGAATGCAGCTGGGACAGCTGAGCTGGCTGAAGGGTTGTTCCATGCCATCTAGCTTTATGCTCAGCAAAAAAACTTGAGAGAGTTTTTCCAAAGCAGCTGCTGCTCAGGGACTGTCTGGGCTTTGGTCTGCTGGTGGTGAGTGACTGCTTTTGCATCACACGTCTTTGCTGTTGTTGGTTTTAGTTGTATTTTTTCTCTTTTTATCCTCTGCTTCTTAAACCGTATTTGGCTTGACCTACCTTTTTTTTTTCCCCCTCATTTCTGCCCTTCTTGTTCTCTCCCCCATGCTACAGGGGAAAAGTGAATGATCAGTTGTTTGGGGGCTTGACTGCCAGCTGAGGTCAGCCCACCACAGCTATGTGATGGGAAATCAACCCCATGCTTTTGCCTTCCCTTCAGGGCACTTAAGAGTTTGTACAAGCAGTGCAGTGTCAATGCACATAATCTTTTTATAGTCTGTTACCTGGCAGCAGTACTTCACAGTCCTCTTGCAGAGAAACTTAAGTGCTTGAAGGCCTGAAGCAGCAGTTAAAGATCAAGACTTTCCAGCTTCAAAAAGAGGCATTGATCTGGATTTGTGCATTTTAATTAAAAAAAAAAAAAATCAAAAGTGAATTGTTCAGAAAGCAGGACAAAAAGTCTCTTGAATGTGAACGAAGCATTTAAAGCTTTCTACAGGGACTGCAATGGTCAGAACTTGGCTAGTCCGTAAGCACCACGTCCAACCTTTCCTTGAACACCCCCAGGGATGGTGACTCCACCACCACCCTGGGCAACCCATCCCAATGCCTGACTGCTCTTTCCGAGAAGAAATGTCTCCTCATTTCTAACCTAAACCTCCCCTGGCACAACTTGAGGCCATTCCCTCTAGTCCTATCACTAGTTCTCTATTAGAAGAGGCCGACCCCCAGCTCCCCACAACTTCCTTTCACTGAAGGTCAGTGTGACATGAAGTGGCACAGAAGGAAGAGGGAGGGGAACAGAATCTCCTGGTGGTGGAATTGTTGTTTTTAAAGCCATATTCAGGGAGGCTTCATTTGATTCTCTGACCAGTTCCTGTGTAGGAGGGAATCTGCCTTATGTATCTGAATTCTTTGTTTGAAGTATGATGGAAGTGATAACGAATTCCACTGTATTCCCCGCACAGACCTGGAAACTTCTTAGAGTCTTCTGTTTTTCTTTTAAGTAAAAAGCAGATGAGCTGACAGCAAGCTGTTTCATGTGACCCAAACTTCTTGTGCTGAATTTTGTTATACTTTCAGGTGTACTGTGAGTATGGAATGGTACATGTCCTTTCAGAGAAGGGGAGCAGCAAAGGAAAAGACTACTGTATCCTCTTCAACTCACAGTGGGCCCATTTGCCACATGATCTGGGTAAAGCTGTAAGTACCTAGCTAAGTATTAAGAAAAGAATATATACAAAAATGCCTTTGTTATAGGGGAAATTTCTAATTCCTATCTTGGATTTAGTAGAATCTGAAACACCTAATTTGCTTGCTGTGCTTTGAAAAATATTTTCAGTCTGTTAAGATCTCCCTAGACAGTGCTGTGATGGCGGTACTTCTTTCCAAGCAGCATGCAGAGAGTTAACTATTTCAGGTTCAATCCTTCTCTTGCACATGATCAATTAAATGAGAATAGAACTTACCTGTACTTAGAAAGAAGTTTTTATGCTAGTGTGATACAAAAAGATACCACATGACCTTCCTGATATCCTAAATTCATAGTTCTGTTAAGTTTAGGAATAAATACAAACTGTCACGTGTGTTCTGTGTTATCCAGAGCTGTGTAAGCTGATGACTTTTTTTTTCCCACTCGGTGGTGATAGGTGGCCACTTCTCATGACTTCACTCATGAGACCCTCGCTGTTTACAAGCAACAAATCTGGAAGGTCAGCGTTCCTAGACAGCTCCTTTAGTACTTGTACCAAGCAGTTACCATCAACGTGCTTTTCAAATTTCCTGGATCTGTTGTAGCAGCTGTGTGGTATTCCCACTTAACGTCTGGCAAGTTGAAGTCACCCTTAAGGACAAAGGCAGTTAGAGATATCCCTTAGTTCCTTATAGAATCATCGGTGTCATCATCCTGGCTGGGTGGTCTATACTAGACTCCCACAATGACATCTTCTCTGTTTGCTTTTCCCTTAATCCTTACTAAGAGGCCCTCTGCTGGGTTGTCAATTTACAAGCTCTGTACAATCCTGCCCCTCTGTTACAGAGCCACCCCGCTATATTACCTGCTCTCTCTACAGAGAGAACAACACTGTTGCTTCTCTGAGAATACTCTCACTTTATTGTAAATTCCAAGTTGTCTTTTAGAAACCCTGTGCTTTTTTGCTCTTGATTCTATTTTTTTATATATGTATAAAATATTTTTTCTTTTCAGTCACTCTTGCAGCTGCAGGATCAGACAGCATCTGTTTTGTGTTCTCCTTCTGATGTACCTGACGGGGGATTTAATAATCAAATCCCCATGGTGATGCGAGGGAATTGCACCTTCTATGAGAAAGTGAGGCTTGCTCAGATAAATGGAGCTCGTGGGCTGCTGATTGTTAGCAGAGAGAGGCTGGTAAGTCTATTTCTGTCTTTGTAGATTACTGATGCTCCTCTAGCGTTAGATGCTGTCTTATTTTCAGTGCTTATTGCTGGTATCAGATGCTCCTCTTTAAATATACGCACATGTTATTTATGTTTATTTTCATGCATCTTCCTGCCTTGCCTAGCCATGTGTGGAAATAATACAGCTGAAGAAAATATTAATGAAACAAGAGGATATATTAATTTAAGTAGGCAGAGTGCTGCATAGAGCCTCTGTAACATGAAGTCAAAGGCTTAGAATTTTCCTCACATCTTATGAAATACTGGAATCAAAAAGATTCCAAGCCATTCTATGGTTCTTGGCTTTTCTGGGTGCCTTTACATACTGAGCTGCTAACTTCAGAGAACTGTTAATGATTTCAGGATCTCTTTCTGAGTGGTAACCACCAATTCAGAGTTTAGGAACATACTGGCATAGTTTATAATACTTTTTCCAAGTTGCATTACTTTATATTTGTGCTAAAGTGAATTGGCCATCTTTTCCCACTCATTCAGTTTGGTGAGGTCTTCAGGATTGGTGTGTGCAGGGCTGTTTCTCACTCCTCTCTCTCTCAGCTGCTATTGCACAGCAGTATTTCCCCTTTCTGCAACGTGCTCTCCCAGAGGCAAAACCAGCATCACACGTGGCTCAGCTCTGGCCAGTAGTGGGTCCCTTTTGGAGCTGGCTGGAACTGGGTCTGATCTGACCTGGGGCAGCTGCTGTGCTGTGCTCACAGAGGCCACCGCTGCATCCTCCTGCTACTAAGCCCTTGCCACGTGGCCCCAGTGCAGCATCCTTATAGTTGGTTTAAGATTTTTGATAAGGCATTAGCAGTATTTTTTTGTTTTGTGTTGTGTTTTGGGTTATTTCTTCTGTGGTTTGCCTGTGTAAAGATAATTTTAAATTATATTTTTTTTGCCCCTTTTGCTTCCTTTTAATTCAGAAAATATTCTAAAAACTTTACCCTTTTGATGTAGTCTTTGCAGAAATTAATATATTTTTGCCTGATCTGAACTGTCTTTCAGGTTCCTCCTGGGGGTAACAGGAGTCAGTATGAAGAGATTGATATTCCTGTTGCTCTGCTGAGCTATTCTGATATGTTAGATATTGGCAAGGTAAGCTCAATACTAAATACTCTATTTCATACCATCTCAAATGAGTTATTGGTCAACAGTATGTGAAGCTCATCTTAGGAGCTTTGGATCTGTAGAGTTATACTTGCAAAGACTGTTATATTATGTTTTATCTAGTTATGTTTTATGAAGTGTCCATCCTGTACTTATTTTGGGGAGCCTTGCTTTGGAATAGTTGCAATCTGGTAGTGTACTTTGAATACCTGTTGGCAGTGGGAACACATCACCTTGGTTCACTTCAGCAGGAAGGAGTTCAACCATGTGTGATGAGGAAGCTAACTTCACAAGTATGTTAGTGGTGTAAAAGAAAACAGGCGTGTGTAAAGCATGTGTAAGCTCTTTCACTGTTGTAGTATCATTATCTCTATCTTCTCTTGAACTGAGGCAGCAGAGGAAGACCTGGATGTGCCAAGGCAGTTTTGCAGAAGCAGAACTGCAGATGTCTGTAGTACTTCTAGATCACAGAGAAAGATGTCTCCTTAAATTGTGTTTATATTTGGAATCTCTGAAGGTGTTCTTTGCATTCCCTTGACATATAGCCTTTATTTTTTATTTTTTTAAAATACCTTTCCTGGGAAAAAGTGATATCAAAAACAAACTTGGGAGATTTAAAGAACAGGGTAGTTCTAACTGAAGACTGGTCACTAAGTTCCTTTGAATTTGTGCTTGCCTCTGCAGAGTTTCGGCAGGTCAGTGAAAGGGGCGATGTATGCACCAAATGAGCCTGTGCTTGACTATAACATGGTGATTATATTTGTCATGGCCGTGGGGACTGTTGCAATTGGAGGCTACTGGGCGGGAAGCAGAGATGTGAAAAAGTGAGTATGGGGAATATAATATGCCAGATTTCTTCTTCTTATGCTTTTGATGGGAGCGGGATGGAACCACGGTGGTGGTGTCCTCTAAAGACATCCTGGTAGCTGTGCAGCTGATTGGAGGCTCTCCATAACTGGAATGGGAAGATACTAGTGTAACATCTGAGAGCCCTTGAGCGTGGTGTATAATTTTCATGTACAGTATTTGAGTGTTTTGCCTTTTTTCAAAAAGCCAAGCATTTGAAAAACTTGAAAGGGAAATTGGATTGGAATAGGCTATTTGGGCTTTTGCAAAGAGTCATTTTTAAAGGTCTTTTATGAAAATTATAGTGATTTGATTTCACTAGTATAGTGTAAAACAGATGGTTAACATATGATGTTTATTATAAATGTTTTACTGAAATTTTATGGTTACTTTTAGCAAGTAGATGGGGAGGAAATATATGCTATGCATTTCCAACATTTACTTCATGCAAGCTGATTTCAGGATTTCTTCTGAAGTCAGCAGTGTATTCTGTGGGAATTTTCAAGATTCAGAGTTGTAAGTGAATGAAAAATAGTACTCTTGATATAACAATTTTGTGATTACTATTACACCAGATTATTCTGGTGTTCATACATACATGTAAAATGTTGAATTCCACTGACTTCAGTGGAAATCCGTGCAGGTGTTGGTGTAGTGTCATCTTTTCCAAGTCCATGTAACTCTTACTGAAGTTTCAGTGCCATTTTCTTGCAGAAGTAATGGTCTGATTATAGCCATATTACTCTTTCAGGCGATACATGAAGCACAAACGTGATGATGGGGCAGAGAAACATGATGATGAAACAGTTGATGTGACTCCAATAATGATCTGTGTATTTGTAGTAATGTGCTGCTCAATGCTGGTCCTCCTTTATTTCTTCTATGACCACTTAGGTACTCTTAAGTTATATTTCTATTGATACATTTTCAATGCTACTAGGCTGCCATTGCTTCAAGAACAATTTTACTGTAGAAGTGATTACAAAACAGCTGTCTTCTACCATCTTTTCTCATTGCTATATGATTTAAACACTTTAAGAAAATCCTCAGAGTAGACCTCTGTACCTACTTTAGTAAGGTTGGATTTGGTATTCATAGCACTTCTTTCAAATATTAAAATCTGTTAAGTAGAATAAAGGTGTAAGACGCTAAGTCTGCATTTTTATCAAAGGATTTCTCAAACCTATACTCTCCTTTCTATTATTATTCAAGTTGATTTTTCTAGCTTTATACGTAAGGTAAGCATCTATTGATTACTTTTTATCAAATTAAAGAAAGAACTTGCAACCTTAACACCCTGAAACTTCCATTCTCCTATTTCCAAGGAAGCTATGAAAGATGCATACCATCTGTGTTGATTCTTTTGTTACTGAGTGATTTTAATTGTTCCCTTATGACATTTATGTGTACCAATTGTGAAAAGATGAACACTTCACAGTAAATTGTCTCTGGCTTCTGATTTAAATCTTACTTTAAAAATAGTAGCCAGGAGCTTTTGATCTGTTAAAGCAGCTGTTGCATAAAGTACCTGAGTAAACTAACCTGCAATTAGATATTTAAAGAGCATAAATCTAATCAACAGTTATTTGAAGTCTGTTTAATTTTCATTGATGAAATTTAAGCCTTATTCAGGCTTTTTGATTGAAAGAAAGCATCTCTTACCTTATCCTTTGTGGACTTACTATTTTTTATTTGTCAGTCTATGTTATCATAGGAATATTCTGCCTGGCTGCCTCAATTGGACTTTACAGTTGCCTGTCTCCTTTTGTAAGAAGATTTCCCTTGGGAAAGTGTAGGTATGTGACAACTTGTAAGTTCTTTAATGGGAAAATTTAAATTTATAGTATAGGGTAATTAAGGGATTTACAGGGTGATTTTGTGTTTCAAAATGTTTATGAAGGAGGAGGGCAACTACATATGTAACTGTACCCAATTGTGTTTCGTTTTCAGAATCCCAGACAACAACTTGCCTTATTTTCACAAGCGTCCACAGGTCCGGATGTTGCTGTTGGCAGTATTTTGTATCTCTGTCAGTGTAGTCTGGGGAATCTTCAGAAATGAAGATCAGTAAGTGTATATTTTAATTTCTATGCAAGAAGACCATAATCTATGTTATACTATGTTATTGCCATCTGTAGAAGCTTAAACCTATCCAGAATCTAGGAGTTGGAAGAAATTAGACTTCTATTGATTACTTTTTGTCAAATTAAAGAAAAAACTTGCAATCTTAACACCCTGGAACTTCCATTCTCATATTTCTGAGGAAGCTGTGAAAGATGCGTACCATCTGCGTTAATTCATTTTGTTACGGAGTAATTTTAAGTGTTAAAAAAATTAGATATAAAATTCATAGTTGCTCTTGATGTACTTCATCTTTTTCGCCTTGGTCTAAGTTACAGGAAACTGTCTTTCACTATACCTGAGTTTCTTCCATAAAATTCAGGATTCATTGGTTCTGGATTCCCAGCCAATACTCTGACTGGTTTCATGCAGCTTTCCACAAGTGGTATAGAAGTTTGGGTACAAGTTGTCTAATTTATTTCTTTAGGTGATGGTCCAGTACAACTTCATATTTGTAAGTCCATGATGACTACAATGTTGATTGCAAACAAGAGCTTGTAATAAAATTTTTATTTTGGTTTGGTGGTTGTTGTTTGATTTATTTTTTTTCCCCAAGCAGGTCCTTAGTGAAAACAGCTTGGTCTGACTGTCCTGCTGCTTCCTGCAAAAATATAAATTTTCTCTTCCTTTAGGTGGGCCTGGGTTCTGCAAGATGCTTTAGGAATTGCTTTCTGTCTTTACATGTTGAAAACAATTCGCCTGCCTACATTTAAGGTATGGATGTTAAAGAGATATTAAATTTCGGTTTACTTTAAAATGGTTTACTTTATCTACTACAGCAGTGTGAACCAGTGAACTTCTCATCCATACAGTGATGATTTCATGATACAGGTCTTTGATTTAAACACACAAAGTTCTGAGGCACCATATGATTCGGATTTTACTAAATGTGATTACTTCATAAAGACTTGTTTCTTGAGATCTGTCAGCTGTGATTTTTCACTCCTTCTCAATGTCATTTTGCTGGAAATCAGATATGAGTAGTTTCCACCACTCTGTTTTGTTTTTCCCTTAATTTGACATAAGATGGATGCAATGTTCTAATTTTCAAATCTTCTTGAACTTAATTAGTATTCTAAAATAAAAATTAGCGTTAGTCATTTAGTTGCTTCTTAGGCAGCTCTTCAAACTCTTTTCCAAGTTATCTTCACCTATAAGTCTGGTCCCCTGTAGAAATTGGCTGAGATAGTGTAGATGCTGTTTCAAACTATGCCTAGCATCATTCAGAGAAAATGCATAAGTTTTTAGTATCTCCTAACAAATTGAAACATAATTTTCAGATTTTACAGGATAAAGAATTTGAGGGACTAATATATAACTTTGTATCCGATAATTATATTCTTGCTGCATGCAAAATGAGATTCTTCCACTTAAAATATTCAGGAATTGAGAAAAATTAGGGTGTCTTGTTTAGTCCTATTTTTTTTATTCTGAATACTCAAGTTGCTGATTATATGCTGCTGCTAACTAATGCATAGTATATAAATACACACCAAGTATCTTGTCTCTTCCAGGGTTGCACCTTGCTCCTCTTGGTTCTTTTTGTCTATGATGTATTCTTTGTATTTATCACACCTTTTCTAACAAAGGTAAGTAAAATATTTTTCTGTTGACTGCTGCAGACAGAGCAAAAGGTAATGATATGTTTCACTGTATTCCTAAATAATCCCTGGCCTGCTGATTGATGTGCTGATTCAAAACTTTGCCATTTTTTTCTTTAGACTGGGGAGAGTATAATGGTGGAGGTAGCTGCGGGCCCATCTGATTCTGCCACTCATGAAAAGGTATTGTACGTAGTCTGAAAGTATGGCATTAACTTCTAGCTATTAAGCTTTCAACTTCTGTAAAATTCAAAGACACTGGGTCTGAAATGGATATGCCACTCAAAAAAGAATTTTGCATGGAAATAAGCACTCCTAAGCTCTCTGGAAATCTACAAGAGAAACAGGACCAAGCAGACTTTTAGTGACTCTTCATGATAGCTTTGGTCTTCCTTTATCTTGCTTTTAAAGAGTTCCAGTAGAAGTTTCAGTAAAAGGAAGCTGGTTAGCTCAGTTTCATAAAAGTATGTGAGCATATTTGTAAATAGAATTTCTAATGAAGCATATCCATTTTAACCTGAAGAGATTAAATGCATATGATGTCTCTTTCCTACCATCCAGTCCCCCCGAGTTTTGACAATTGTTTTATGAAAACCTGAAGCTAGGCAAAGGAGAGAAACACAAACTGGAGATAGAAAACAGAAGTCAGAATTCAACACTTCTGTACCCTTTGACTACAGCCAGCTGCATGCACAGAGCTGTACAACATGATGTGGCTGAGTTGAGGAAGAAAGTAGGTGAGATGTAGAAAATGATGAGTTACAGTGTAGAAAATAAATATGAAGTGAATCTGTAGGAAAACCATTTTTTTTTAAATTACTCTAGTCTTTTGCTCCCACTTTAGTTCAAATTTTACACACAATTAATTTTATGGAAGAATAATTATACTATAAGTAGATACAATTATTTTAATATAAGCAAAATATATTTTCTTCAATAGTCTAATATAGAAATGTCTGCACTGAATCTTGTCATACTGTGCCTCAACACTGCAAGTTATGTAATAAACAGAAATGTTAGAATACACACACAACAAAAAAAAAAAAGTCTCAAAGTGATTGGAAAAATTACTTTTTAAAGGGTTTCCCAAGTCTTTGCTCTTTTGATACATTCATTGCAACCAGTAGAACCAAATATAAAGCTATTTCTTATACATGTGGCAGCTTGTCTAATTTTGTTTCTACAGTTAAACCAGAGTTGATACCTACTACATGTGAGGACTTTGACATTAATATAGAGTATTTTGAGATGTGCATCATACTACAAGTTGTCTTGGCCATTTGTTTTTAATAGTATTTCTTCACTCCCATCTTAACTGTATTTTTATTGTTGTCAGTAATGAGATGTATAATGTTAAAAAAATAAAATAAAAATAAAATGTTTTGCTATATCTGTGTAGCCTTTAGGTCTAGTACAACAGGAACAAGTTCTGGTGTCAGTATGTAGAGAAGAAAGCTTTTCATAAGGATTATGTCTCTTTCTTTCTAAGCTCCCAATGGTCCTGAAGGTTCCACGACTGAACTCTTCACCACTGGCTCTGTGTGACAGGCCTTTTTCTCTCCTAGGATTTGGAGACATTTTAGTTCCAGGTATTTCTTGTTTAGTGTGTTAATTGTACTTGTTGCACTGTCATATTAGCTTATTCTTCTGCTTCCACTTCAAGTGGGAAGTTTGATTTGACATGTATAAACTTGATATATTTGTAAGTATACCTTTCTGGTTTTTTTCTGCACTATTTACTCTTTCAATAAGAAATTAAATGCCTACTAATTTGATGGTTCAGTTTCACACACAGTCAAGTTGAGAAATGTAGAGAAAACTGAAGAATTAATTCAGCAGCTAGTATTACAACATAAACATTTTTAATAGTGAGATCATAGAGGAAGTGACTTGCCCATTTGCCCGTGATTTGAGTGCACATATACCTCACTATTCAAAACTTCATTGTTTTGTTATTCACACAATGAATGTCCACTGTTACTACCTCACTTTCTCTACTTACCTGCATCGCCAGCACCAAAATGGTCTGTTTGAAGACTGCTCTGGTTCTTAAAGGTTGTATTCTTAAAATGAAGCTTCCAGTTTGTCAGCTTGATGATCTAGGAAGCCACTTGAAGCCATCCCCATCCATAGGTTGCTAAAATGCAAAACAGGCTGTGACGACAGCAATTTACAACATTAACATTTAGAACATTAGGTTGGAGCCATCTCTTGTCATGTGGTCAGTCATCAGAGAGCTGTCTCCACCTTTACTGTGCATTAGCTGCCACTGAGTGCTCTGTCCATGTTTCTTCCAGTACTATGCCAATTCAAAAGCATCTCAATATGCTACAGCACTTGGCAGAGTAGATTTGCAGTTGCTATTGGTTTGAAAAGCTCCAGAACTCATCTCTGGGTACATGTGGATGTTATGGACAATTCACCTGAAAATAAAAGAAATTCACCAGTAATTGGAGTTCAAGAAGTGCTTCCCATTTGCACTGTGACCTCCCTTCTGCCTGCTTTCTAATTCTTTGTCCCCGGGATCATTTATTTCCAAGCTTCAGAGTTAAGAGTTGAACTAAATCTTACATAAGGAGCTTGATTATCCAAGGAACTTGGATAATCTGAGATTAAGAGAATTATCTACATTCTAGTGATGAAACATACTGTGGACAATTCATCTAGCAGCATTCTTTCTGTGAATAACTTATTTTTCACTAGCTGCATAATCTTCTGTGGTACAATTGTTAACTCTTGCTGCATTTGATATGCCAGAGCAATTACTTTTTTTGTTGTTGTTTTTGTTTCTTGTTTTCTTTAAAATACATGAACAAACAGGTTCATGTGCATTGCTTTGAAACTTACTTTGTTTCATTTTAATCAAAAACTCTTTTTTTTTAAAAAAAAAAAAGCACACAAAAGTACTGTGCATTTAGCTTTGATTTCTACAGAACCAAAGTTTCTGCAATCCCTGGTTTCAACAAAATTCAGCAAAACCTTAGACAATTATATTCCTACAAGTTTCATGGAAAAAAATCTATTTAAATGGCGTGGGATGGAGAGGGATCCTTCCCACAGGAGGGAAAGGCAGAAGCATATTAATAAAAAGTATTAAGTTAAGGGTAACTTTGACTATTTATGTAACTGTTCTGTAAGCTGTGGGGCTTACTGAATGATGCTGCCATGGTTCTTAAATAGTGGAGTACCAAAGTATTAGAAAAAAAAAATCTTAAAAGTTCATAGATAATTTGATATACGTTTTCATTTATCTCAATGCATGAATGGGTTGAAAATGTAATTGTTCTTTCCTTTCCTAGGTTTACTGGTAGCCTACTGTCATAGGTTTGATATTCAGGTCCAGTCATCCAGAGTCTATTTTGTAGCCTGCACGATAGGTATGTTTGACACTTAAACATGATATCTAGAGGAGTCACTCCCTTCAAAAGCATACTGTTGATCTCATACTGCGTTGTTTTTTGATCATTATGCTCCATTCATTATTAAACAGAAGTAATAAAGCAAATAAAACTCCTTTGTTCTTTAAAGGCTAGACCTTCTACTCCTGAACTATGACATCACTTTTTTGAGCTGCCTTGTCTGACATAAATAAAGGAAACTACTTCTGATCATGATTTGTGTAACTGTAACCCCTACATGTATTCTTACATGTGCTTAGCTACTCATTCTAGCTTCTCGATTAAAGATTTTGAGTTGGTGGCATATGAAAATTCAGGTTCAAGGATATTGACTTTGTTCTTTTTGTGTGTTCTAAAAATCTGATTTATGATGTAATGAATTATTTTGTAATGGATGTAATACCTCCAAATACAAAGAACTATCAATAATTAAAAAAAAAAAAAAATGGATAAAACTATTGAGTATTCCAATAATCTTACTTGTGAACAAAAATCAGTTAGTTTTAGCTTCCTTCTTAAAATGCAATTGAAAATAATTACAACATAAAATCCTAAATGCTTCTGTTCTGCTTTTCTGCAGAATACAAGCAGTAATTTGAAACAAAATAATAAATTATACATCTGTTTTAAGTTATGTTGCCATGTAGTAAGAAGCAGTCAAAGCCAAACCAAGTATATAATATAATATGGTCAAAATAATTGTCTCTATCTGAATTCATAAATATAATAGGAGAAATAAAATATTTGTTTACTTTGCTTCTCTAAAACTGTTTAAGATATTGATTTAATCACACAGTATGGACTAGGTCAATCACACTACTTTCACATTGTACTACCAATAGAAAGAGAGTAGTATCTCAAAGTAGGTAGTCGAAGTTTATAGTGTATATATAATGCTTCTGTTTAAAAGCCAGAAAAAAATTTGGAGAAGTTGCTTTATGTACTTACTGGGGAAAAAAAAATAAAAATCCTGTTAAAATGCTTATTTAGCTATTTAATTGTTTTTGATTCAGCAGAGCTATAGCTGAATTTTTTTTCTTATTTTGTTTCCTTCCAGCATATGGCATAGGCCTTCTTGTGACCTTTGTCGCCTTGGCATTGATGCAGATGGGCCAGCCAGCTCTCCTCTACTTGGTGCCCTGCACTCTAATCACGAGTTTTGCTGTGGCTCTTTGGAGAAAGGAGCTTGCAATGTTCTGGACAGGCAGCGGCTTTGCGGTGAATACCAGTTTGATATGAGTGTCTTCAAGAAATACTATTATTATAAAAACCTAACTAGAATTAAAGTTGAGTAAAATATTGTAGTATTATCCACCAAAACCAAAGATTTTTGTTTTGCTTGATTGTTTCTTTTTTACACACTTTTTTGCTTCAGTGATGTTTTCATTTTCTTTCTTTTAATATTAATGTTAATATTAATGGCCACGTAAACTAGCTAGTGAAAAGTAAAGTAGACCCTGTCTGTCCTTCATTCTGACACAATTTTTAGTGGTTTGATCTTTGTTGAAAGTATTATTACTGTTGTGGTAAGTAACTCCTTAAAAGTTAGTTGAGTTGGGATTGCAGTCCTTTGTATGCCTCACACAGGTCATGTTTCTGGAACACTGTCACAACTGATAAATCAAGAAATAGGGACTAAAAACCGCTACTAATATGTGACAGAAAGGTTGCAATCAAAGAAATGAAAGGCATTGTCAGTTTCTTACGGACATGTGATAGCAAGAGACCCAGGAGGATCTTAGCAAATAAAAGTTCTTCCTCTTCAGAGAACACTTAAAAATAATTCAGAAATTCCTGCAACTCTGATTTAGAGAAATAGTATTTCCTGGTTACAAAACTTTTAGGCATTTCACTACTGTTCTGCGTTAGCAACCTAGCACAAAGACACTTTAATAGTATTAAGGGTGCCAATACATTGTAGCCACATATCTGAATTTGGAGCTTATAAAAAGGTGGTGGGGGAAAAAAAATCCATTGTGCAGATGACTAGCTAGAGCTTTAACATACAAGGTTACCAGAAGTACAATGCAGATGTATAGCATAGCAAGCAGCTACCTCTTACCATTCTTAGAAATATATATTTTGACTTTTTTTAAATGTTCATCTGGAAGTTGTTCTTTATTTCTTTAGGACCATCTCATGTAATAATACCTTCCCTTCCTTAGCCTTAACAAAATTGTCTTGAAGGTTTAGACTAGAAGTCATGAATTCAAACAACAGTTTAAAACAAAACCTTTTTTAGAAGTTTAGTAACTTTTTTTTTTCTGTGTAGACATGAAATTCTTTGCCAAAATTGTTGTGAATAAGAAAAGTTTACAGGGTTTTTAAAAATTATTAGACAAGTTCGTGGAAGAAAAAACTCCTGTGCATTTTAAGATGCAAAAATAGGATCACATTATGCATAATGCAAAAATAGGATCACATTATGCATGTGTCCACTGCTGAAGAATAGTAAGAGAAGTGCCTTTTATCTTCACCTTGTGTGACCATTTGATCTGACCACTTCACCTGATAACTGGACGCAGTTGAATACAGTTTTTGCAAACCCTAATGTATCTCTATATACAGTTAATACCGTTCTTGACAGCAGTGTAACAATTAATGATTTTCTTCATTCTAACTGTGGTCTTCCATTTGCAGAAAGACCTACCTCAGCCTCCCTTGGTGATAGCTCCTGTCAACTGCCCTGAGCTTCCCAAAGATAGCAATGTACCAGCCTCTCAACAAGAGACAGAGCAAATGACCAATCCCACCCTCCATGTGAAGGAGCTGCATGGCCCCACCTTGACTGCAGAGGAGCTGGCTGATAATGACACAAAGACGGAACAGTCAGAAATTTCTATCACACAGAGTGAGGAACCAGCTGGGCATAACAAGGACGACCTTGAAAGCAAATGCCTAAACCTAGAGCAAAAACAGCTGGAATAAACAATGTGATAGGAACTCCGTATCTTCTGTCACAAACATCCATGTAAAGCCAGTATGTATTTAGACTGGTTCAGTAGTATTCACCTTCATTGAGGAACCTCATTGGGAGTCTGATCATCAAACACAATGCAGAATGTTCTGCCTCCAGCTTCGGTACAGCTATACACTTCAAATATATTTCAGAAATATGGTGCTCTACAAGGGTTCTGATGTATGGATTTCAGCGATCATTTTATAAGTGAATGCCTTTGACTGATGCATTTTCATTATACCGGGGTAGTATTAAGAGTCTTTCTTTACACAGTACTCTGTGCTTGTGTGGCTATTATTGCTGCTTTAGCATAGTGTAGGTTAACACGGAGGAAAAGCATTGAACAAGTCTGCTACAATGCTTAGTTGAGAGAAACATAGGTTTTTAGCACTTTGCCTACTGTCACGTTTTACTTGTCAAAGCCATTGATGCAAGGGAATGCTTTAGTATAAGCTGACATTCAGGAAATGCAGAGGATGGTTAAATTACCAGCCTCTGAAAGGATTTATACTACCGTGGTGCATTAAATGCATCTCTTAAACTTTTTTGTCTTTGTTTTTACTTCCAGGTATCTGTGTTGGCTACTAGTCTAGTTTAAAAAGGCAGGATGAACGGAGCTACAGGAAGCTCTCTAAGCACTCCTATGAACTCCAGGGGCTGTCTCTGAAAATAAAGTGTTTGTCACAGAATAAGTGTATTAAGAATGTTTGCTTTAGAAATAAAATACAAGCCAGATAAATAAGAAAATAGGTAATTATATAAGCGTTATATACGAAGCTTAATAGGCAGTATTTTCACTAGGAAAAACGTTAAAGTAAAACAGCAAAAAGAATCAGTAAAAGCTCAAAAATCCAAACTGCTGAACTTTAAGGAATATAGTTGTGATTATTAATTCTGAAGAAAAGGGTGTTTTCATTCCCAAGGGAACACACATGGTGCTATAGTCACTCGTGATTTAGAGTTTCTTGCTGCTCAGTAACTAATCAGCTGCTTCAAAGAATGTTTTGTTTTGTCCCAAGAGTAGCTAAGTGTGGCCTGTCAGGTTCCAAAATGAGGCTGTGATCTAGCCTATTATTTTGCCCCTCTTGCTAAATGACATTGTGAAAGACTAAATTGATGAATTTAAAACTATTTGAGGTGCAAAACTATTTGAGGTACAGCTGGTCTTAATTTATATTCCTGAAAATGTGCATTTTCTTACATAACATGGTTGAACCGTTTACGCATCAGCTTTGATACACACAGATGATGAGATTTGCATATCATTTATTCAATTTAAGAACACTTGGCTTCATCAAAGGTGTCTGTGTTCTACACTTAAATTGCAATTCCCTAAAATTTCAAAATTCAAATATTTTACATTAAAGCTGAAAAAGGCAATATGATTTGAATATCACATATAGAATATGATTCCAAATTGCATGGAAGAAATGCTTTTCAGAGTATTTCAAGAGCCTAAAATGTCATTTACAAAAGTATCATCATTGTGTCATGATCTGAGGCAATGCTTTTAAATTAAGAGTCTCCAGTTGGCATGTTGAGTTGAATGCTGAAAGGCTCTCCTTTGAATGTCTGTCTGTTAAACTTCAGCCATTATCTCTTTGGCTAGGTCTTCCAAAAGTTTGCCGTGTATTTTTTGGGTGTTTAACCTCTCTTTATCTGTTTTGCATTGGGTGGACAATATTCTTTCTCCAGAATGTGAAAGGCTTTCTGTAAAACCACACCATGGGTTCAGGATTTTACCAGCTTCTGCCTAAAGCTTCAAGCCCTGTCTGATAGATTGATTTTTAGTGGTGAGTTTCTTGAAAGGCTTACTGAGTCCTAAGGCCTGCACCACATTAATTTATGAATGGCCCAAATGGATTAGATAGTAGGAAATGGATTAGATAGTAGGATTAGAGAGATCTGGGTTATTTTTGTTCTTCTGTTTTATCTCCTCTTTAACGGACTATGTTACTTTTGCCAGGGGTAATCTGAACCAATTAGTGATTCAAAAGCAACAGAGACATTTTATTGAAAATATCAGCCAGCTGGATTATGCCTTAATTTAAACCATTGTACAAGTATGTATATTCAAAATACAATCCTGTGTTTAAATAATGAACTTGACAAATAGTGATAAAACGAATTTGGAGACTGACTCAAAGTTCTATGTTTTTTTTTCTTGATTATCTTTCAGTCATAATATTTTTGGGAGTAGTTTTTATACGCTTATGTCAGTAGTTTTTTGATGATGAAGCATTAAGATTTATCACCACCTTGAAAATGTATTTTAACATTTGTTCTCATGCAGTGTGGGGTAGGTAAGAGTTTATTTCTCAAGTTGTTTATAACTCAATTAAAATGGAATAATTTATAACACTGATTAACTTATAGACATTCAGTAATTGCTTTGTTCATATTTCATTCAGATGGGCCTGCTTGTAACACATGCTTCACCTTCTTGTTTTTGATGGTTTTCCATCTAAGTGTAATATTTCTTCAAACTCCAGAGATCGATGTGGAAAAAAATAGTGCAATAATTCCAGTTAAAGTATGTAAATAATGAGTTATATACTTTGACTATTCTAGTACTGTACAAATCAGGTGACCCTGGTGCACTAGTCTGGCTATGACTGTTTAGACCCTGATCCCACACAGTTCAATCACTTCCATCAAAAAACAAGGCTCTGCTTTTCTGTCTTTCAATAAACCTCCCACAGCAGCTTAATGTAAAACATAGTGTTTTATAGGAAAATGTCAAGATATATTCAATGTAGTTAATTCTGATTTTTTTTTTTATGATTGCAGATGTACATTCTCCACCAACTTGAGTTAAAAGGCTGCTTTTTAAGTAATGTTAAAGTGCTTCTTGTTTAACACAAAAGCAACCAAAAATCTTTCTTTGGATAACCACAGTAGTGAGTGTCAGATTCTTTCCTGGGTCTGAAATTACTAAATATGAGTCAGTGTGGTGGTCCAAGTGTTTGGTTTTGATTTGTCCTCCTGAAGGGTTTCACAAATTCAGCTGAAGGTAGAATGCAACCTGAAAGACCTTAGTGACTTAGTGAGAGTGACAAATAAGGGAGAAGTACCCCAAATGCTGTTAGTTTGTGTGAATCTTCTTTTTCACTTGTCACAGATGAAGAGCATTTAAAACGAAATACAATAATATATCTGTTTTTAACAGTAGTAGCAAAAAAAAAAAAAGGCAAAAAAAAAAAGTCCACATATGGAAGAACTATACTTGTTTATGTTTAATGATTTAATGTTATTTCTAAACTTGGACAAATGTCAAAAAAAAAAAAAATACTACTACCCATAGCACAACATTGTTCCTAACAGGTTTATTAATATAGTATTTAGAAAACATGTCATTTAGAAAATTCCTCTTTTCATTTTGTTTCCTTTTGTATTAACCATATCAAATTTCTTTTTTTTTCTTTACCTGATAATCTTGATCTCAGTCAAGCCTTTCCTGCAGAAGCTGCTCCTTTTTGCTTACAGTAGCCATCAGTCTGTCTTTTCTTAAGAATACCTTGCAAGTCCTAATAGTGTTTTTCAGACATGTCCATTTCCATGTTTCAGATTTGTTTTTTGCATCTGTGATGCATTTCTCACTGAGAACATACGACCATAATGATAGTGCCTGTAGACTTCTAAGTATGCTGGAAAAATAGCACTGATGCTGGAGCCAGAAAAAAATAAAAATAAACAGAACTGAAATAATAACATTTTAAGCTTTGTTGAAGGTGACTGTATTCATCAGTCAATTAGCATGACATTGGGGGAGATATGTATTTACTTGCAGATATTTTTTCTGGGAGGTCTGATGGACAACAGAATGCTTAGAGTTGTTTTTTTTTTTTTCTTTTTTTGAGGGGAAAAAAGTTTTGTTTCAGAACAAAATCCATGGGACACTGTGTAAGTTCAATGCCTCTGGATATATCACACTCCAGTTTGTAGAACCTTTCTGACTTAGGAAGTTTCTCAGTTGCCTGCTTAACTGCTCTGCTTCCTATTAGATGCCTTTGGCCTTGAGGGGTTCCTTTGTTTCATTTAACTGTTTTTATACCTTCCCAGGCTAGTGAAATATAAATAAAATAAAGAATGAAATCACTCCTATACTGGGTGTTGGCAAAAACAGTGTTGCCTTGAAGTAAATGCTTACATACAGGTCTTTTACTGTAAGATACTGCAGTTTTCGCCTGTGGTTTTGTTCCTTTCTCCCTTTTCTTTAGCCCTATGGTTGTGTAGTGCATATATTTTCGATTTCTTACACTATACTGGATGTTTAGGATGTTAAGCCCAGTAATATTACTTATTAGTGGCAGCTTCATTGATAATTTTAAGTGATTAATTTATATACATATGTTTTCATCACTTGCCACATTATTTGTAGTGTATTCCTATGTGTACATAAGTTAGCCAAGCCATATTGCACAACTAGTGTATAGCAATACATGGCACACCTTACTTTGGCACAAGCACAAATAATATATGCCAGATGTGCTGGCAGATCCAAGCATTTGGCCATAGCTTGGGGGGATGCTTTTTTTTTTTGTTTGTTTGTTTTTGACAAATATGGTCTGTGATGTTTTAAAATAAAATCTGTGTAAGGGCTGCACATTGAGGAAAAAATTAGGACATTTAGGAAAGCATTGTGATCGGCAGTTCAGAATATAGAATAATAGAATGGAATTGGAATGAATCATAGAATCTAGAATTATAGAATAGGATGGGATTGGAAGGGGCTTTAGGACCACCTCCTTCCAACCCCCTGCCATGGGCAGGAATGCCACTCACTAGATCAGGTTGCCCAGGGCTGCATCCAATCTGGCCTTGAAAAACCTCCAGGGCTGGGGCATCCAGAACCTCTCCGGGCACCCTGTTCCAGTGCCTCACCACACTCTAAGGCATGAATTTCCTCCAAACATCTAATCTAAATCTACCAGTTTAGAACTATTCCCCCTTGTTCTATTATTGTCTGCCCTAGCAAAAAGTTGTTCATCATTTTAAAAGCAAAATTTATATACAGAAAGGCTGCACTGAGGTCACCCTGGAGCTCTCTCTTCTCCTGACAGAACATCCCCAGCTCTTTCAGCCTTTCTTCATAGGAGAGGTGCTCCAGCCCCTTGATCATCTGAGGGGTGCGTTGGATCCCATTGTCTATGTCATAGTTAAAGATACTAAACAGCACTGGTCCCAAGACGCATCTTCTCTTACAAAGAATGTTTTGGTTTTGTTTTACTAGTTTAAAAATCATGAGTTCTGTGGATGGAAACCATATCAAAACACTTCTTAAACAGATGCAGTGCTCCTTCTACTGAGATAAATCTTATCTTTTGATTTAGTACATTTAAGTAATGTGCGTGGGACCTAGTCTATGGGAGGAGATAACCATGTTTCTCTCTAACTGGTAGTTAACAACAATGGTATGCATGTGCTAGTGCAAATAGCTCTTTCCTATTTGTCTTCAACTTGTGCTTTGTCACTGACCTCTCAAGATTGGAATAGAATAGTTCAGTTGGAAGGGACCTTCAGAGAACATCTAGTCCAACTGCCTGACCTCTTTGGGGCTAACAAAAAGCTAAAGCATATTGAGGGCGTTGTCCATGTGCCTCCTGAACACTGGCAGGCATGGGGCATCGACCACCACACGGGGAAGTCCCTGTTTCATAGTGCACTTGAAGCACTCTCTGCGCTAGTCCATTAACATTATCTTGTCGGATAATGTGTCTTAACCATCAGATACCATTGCCCACCCTGATTCCTGCATTACGTGTTGCATTCATTGTGTGGGACTGTCTCGTTCCAACATTTCCAACAAATCTTTTCCATCCTAGAAGTCACTGACAGCATACAAGCTCCAATACATTCAGTTTGGCAATATGTGAAAGCAGAACCATTTTCTGAAAGAAAGATACAGATTTTGAACCCTGGCTGTGGATGATCTACTTATTATTTTTATCACTTTATTTCACTTTTTCAAATAGTGCAGTGCTGGAGGAACTGAGGATCTGTTAACGTGCTAGCAATATTTGAACAATATTATCCTTACTTTATTAAAAGTGAATTACCAGTGCTCTGTATGTGGAACACATGGGAGAATGCAGGCAAAAAGAGCAGTATAAAGAGAATTTCTGAGATAAGACTAGAGAGGAAAATACACATTTGTTTAACGCTAGTTTATTGGGTGCTTGTTAGTAGCTTCTTTTAGGGAGCAGGAGGTAACAGTAGAATAGTTTAAAATGTCCAATGTCTTTGTGGAAGGTCTTTGCAATAATGTTCAACTAATTGTGTATAGGCTAGTGTTATGAAGACTGCAAATTCAAATGGTTATTAATTTTAGTGCTTGCAAATGCATACCTTTATAGTCAAGAGGAATAAACTTTAATGCTCTTGTTTCATGAAGTGCTGAAGGAAGCTTTTGTGTTTCAAAAGCTGATACATTTTTGTTATTGAAAATCTTCTTTGCTATTGGCACCTAAATAAATAAATAAATAATAAAAAATAAAATTCCAGCTAAGAAATTTTGCCAGGGTAGGAAGATTGTGGCGTAAAAGCTCCATTCAAATATTTCCCCTGCACAGTGGCTAGGAATGCCACATGCACTGAAGCTGTCAAAATAAAATGCAGATGGGACCTAAAGAACAAGGAATTTAGTTCCTTATAAAGATATAGTCAGTCCTCAATCATTGCATCAGGTACGGTGATAAAATGAACATCCTTCCCTGATTTTATCTTGCCTCTCATTTATCTTGTCAGATAGGCAGTCACATACAGTATGAATATTAGTTCCACAGTTTTAATTCACTGAATTGCTGAAATGTAGACAGTCTGTTATGAATTGTAATTCTCTCCCTTCAAGCAAACTGTAGCAGGCATGGTGTTTGCTAGATGATGATTTGCAAAATTGGTGCATGGTATCTACAAGGATAGATAAATTGGTAGTTTTGTGACTTGTATCTATGATACAAGTATCTTGTATCTATGGTACAAGTAAGATTTTAGTTGTTACTATTGTTTGCAAACAATAATAGAGAACTGAACATGTCATGTTACTACTGTCTTCCTCTGCTGACAGTAGAATAGAGCCATTGCAAAACTCAAGAGGAAAAAGTAGTGTCCAAGTAGTAAAAAACACTTTTGGTGAATGTTTCCTGTTTTTCTGACATTGTAGGTCTTACTGTACTACTTGCATCAGATCTTCCATTCAGTCTAGGTGGGTTCTTTCCCATATAACTATAGAACTCATCATGGTTTTGATATCAGCCTCTCCATCTGAATGATTTAGTCATGTAGCCAATTGCACAGCATATCATAATATATAATTTTATATATTTAAATATATTGTAAGACACAGCATCTCCAGTGATCAATGTAGATTTGTTTCTTCCCTCTGTGATGTAACATGGGGAAAATCCTATTTCATAATTAACAGTGGGAGAAACAGAATCTGATGACAAGAGATCAGAAATATCCCAAGGGTTTCTGCAGAGTGATTCTTTTGTTTTGTTTTGTTTTCCATGGAGTAATTTAGCCTATTTCAGGCATACATATATATGGTAACAGAAAACAATCCTAAAAAAAAAAAAAATCAACTGAAATTGAAGTGTTGTTTTTTTTCTTCTTCTTCTATTTTGCCTTTTAAAAACATTGGAATTTACCTTAGCCTGTTTTAGTTTAATAATGTAAAAATTTTCTAAGACTGTAAAATAAAGTTACTTAACTTTTGAACTGAATTTTGCTATTTTTTTTTATCATTGTTATGTTTGAAATCCAGTTTACTTTTATTCTTTGCACTAAAATATGATAATTTATTTTTTTTTTGTGATTTAAAAGATCTCAGAAGCTGCTCACAGCTTCAGTCTTGAGATGGATTACATGAAAAAATCTTGTCTATGGTCTTTCAAGTCTTGCCCATTGCATTTCAAGTCTCCTCATATGAAAGACTCAGAACAAATCTCTGTCTAAATGAGTAATCAAGCTTTCTTTCTGCCTCTGATTCTAACCCTGATGGGATTATTGTACAGATAAAACCAATGAGTTGCGCATTTTTCTATTGCTTGGAAAGAAAGTTGGGTACTTTGCAGGTCCTTTTAAAAAATAGTAAGTCTAATGAATTAGATTGCAAGTCATAGAGGCATCTGAATTCTGCGAATTGAAAACAGGTGCATTTCCACTCTGGTTTTGTAAAACTGGAAAATGTCCTGTGTTTTCCTTTTACATGTGTAGTATAGCTGAAAAGACAAAAATTAAGAAATTTCTTGTGTCACCTACCTTGAAAGAAGAAAGACATGGAAGGAAGGAAGGGAGGAAGGAAGGAAAGCATTGCAGCTAAACAGTCTTTCTCTTTGGACTGTTGCTGCGGAATGACAGAACAGCTACTTCTGTTCAGACAAAGAGGGCTCAAAACCAGAAAGACTGGTTTGTGTTAAAAAAAAAAGGATAATAAAAATTAAGATTCAGTCTGGCTACAAAATTCATCCTAAAATGCTGACAGGCAGTATTTTCTGGGAACAAAACATAGTTATCAAGTCAATACCTTTGCCATTTAGTCCATTTTTCTTAATCCATCACATGTAACCTCACTTACTCAACGAACAATTGTACCACATAAACCTCTACAAATACTAAACTAGTAGTGCCATCACTATTTTTGTTGTTGCTATTAAGCAAAGCAAAAGTCACATTTATTTTGTAGTAGCACATACAGTTTCCTGTATTAGTTGAAATCGTAATTTAGATTTAGATATACATCTGCATATTAGAACAGAAATAGAATAAGGAAAAAAATGTGTTGCTTTTTTATTCCTGTATCTGTTGCATAAATATGGACAGAGCATTTGTTTAAAAAATAACTAAATTATTGGTATTTTGGCACAGGGTAATGTTCTAATGGGGAATCAAATCACTCAAACAGAAGGATGTCTCAGGATGAGACCCTGAGCTGCTGTTCTGCTGAGTTCCTACAGTACAGCTGGTCTGTGGCTCTATGACCAGTCCTGCACATGCATGTTCTGTCACTTTTGATTATCTCAATTGCATTTAAAACATTTCCAAAATATGCACTGCATAGTTTCTGCATCTGCAGGCACAGTTTCAGTTGACTACTTACAAGCATCTTGTCTGCTTAGGCTTTGCTTGGTTTTGCAACAAGAACCACCTAGGGGGGATGTCTGGAAGGAAGGAAGGAATTTTCCACCCTGAGTGACAGCTCCTTTGAGCACAGGAGTGGGTCTGTGCACAGGTGCTGCCTGAAGGTTGCCCTCAGGGCAGTGTGAAATTCCTTCCCGGAGAGCTCCTGCACTAATTGCTCAAATACTTTTTAGTGAGGATTGCCCAGTTTCAAGTCAGTTCATTGACCGAAACCAGTCCATTATCTTACCCATGCATGTGACTAAGTGGAGAGTTTCGGGACCACCAAGGGCCTTGATGACTTAATGGCACTGGATGTACAGGCAGGGACAGCCTTGATCACCAGCTATGCCACAGCTAGAACTAGAAGACAAACCTGAGTTTCATATTTATAGCTCATTGCAGCCTAAATTTTGTAGCTTTTGCCACATATTCAAAATTAGATGACCTATGTTTCTTTTGTTTTGGTATGGTGTTTTTTTGTTTGTTTGTTTTGTTTTGTTTTTGTGTATGTTTTCCTGTTTTAGAAGGAATACAGATTGCATATCACACATAAATAAGAGCTTTTTGCTCACTGTAATGAACTGCAGAGGTCCAACCTTCACAAGCCCAATGCTGTTGTTCAGTACAGGTTGGAAGAAAGTTACTTGAACAGAAAAACAGTGATGATGACTGAAAATACAAAGCTCTGAAATTCATTAGCCTTTTCAGGCTGAAACAAAACCAATTCTCAGTTTTTCATGTGTTTTTCATCTTTCAAGAGGTCTTGGCAAAAGGCTCAAATGTTAGCTTCAACAAAAGGCAATCCCTGCCTGGTTTTGGCCTCTGTCGCAAGTATGTGTGATGCCAGGTAAGCCCTGCGTGTCCCTGTGCAGCAGGTACAGCATTTTCCTCACAGGGATTGTTATGATGATAAATAAAGTGTGCACTGTAAGCGGTATGGATGCTTGGCTGAGGGGGTGAGGGACTTTTGCACAAGTGCTCCCCTTCAGCGATTTCCACGTGCATGGCCCGTGCGTGTTAATCCACCGCCCCGTGGTTTCACTGTGTGGGGCTGACAACTTGTGGCGACTGAGGCGAATTCAGCGCTGCCAGCGCGAATCCCCCATCACTGAACCACTTCTGAAGCCAGCTCCTGAGGGCGAGGCCCCGGCTCCTCCCCGCGCCTTTAACGGCCCGGCCAGGCCCGGCCCGGCCCGGCCGCCCCCCGCCCCTCCCGGCTGCGCTGGGCGGGAGGCGAGGCCCGGGGCCGGGCGGCGCCGTGACGGGAGGAGAAGCGGAGCAGGTGAGTTACCGCTCGGGAGGCTGCCCCTTGCCGATTTCGGTGCTTTTTGACGTTAAAATGACGGTGCTGAGGTTGGGGGCGCTTCGCACAAGTGACACAGGGATGCTGGAGGGGACCCGGTCTGCCCGTCAGTGCGAAGGAGCCAAAACTCTCCACAGGAGTGTGCGCACCGTTGAATCTCCACAAGTTTGGCGTGTTTCTGCTGGGTGTCCCCGGAATATTATATTTCTGTAGGGTGTTTCATCGTGTGGCTATGGACCGGTGGGTGTCCACCGACACCAAATGTGCGGCCGTGGTTTCACAGGAAAATGGTCTCAGGAACCTCCTCTCTGAAAGCGCTGCGTGAGGAGGAATGCTTAATATTATCAGTACCATGGAAACAAATGCAGAGCGTGATTTGTGGTATTTAAAAGCTGTAAGGACTTTAAAAGCTATAGGAAAGGGCCTGGGAGTGCTGTCGTGCTGCTGTGCCCCCAGCCTGTCTTCCAGCCACGAGGCTGCCCTGCAGGCAGCTCTGGGCAGCCCGTGTGTGCCAGTGTCCCGCAGCCTGTGCTCAGGGACAGTCCCCTCAGGCAGGAGGGCTGGTCACAAACCCCCAGTGCCTGAGTTTAGTAGATGGCACTGTCCCACACCGCTATGTCTGGAGTCTCGTTCTGCAACCTCCCAGGTCAGTGGCAAAAATCCCATCACCTCCGGCACTGCAAGTTCCTGGCTTGAATGCTCCTCAGTCATCACCAGCTGGTTTCTCTACATGTGTTCTGTCTTTGAGGGAACCGTGCACTACAGATGAGTGGTTTCAGGGTAGTATGAGGGTTTTATGCCCATCAATATCGATGCCTGTCTGCCAAGCTGTAATAAGGGCTGAAGCTAGGTACCACAAAATGTGATTTACGCCTTGCTTCAAATCTATGCAAGCTGGTAAGAAAGAACAAAATGTGGTTACATGGAAAATGAAAGCATCAAGTTTAGCCCCCTGCTGCTCCTCCAGGATGCTCTGGTCCCAATACTATACCAGTATTTTCACCAGGTGCAGCTGATAACCTCCCTTCACATGCTGCAGCCTCTGAAGCCAATGTAGGGCAGCACGTTTAGGGGTTGTGACCAAATGAAATGCCATGAGTTAAGCATGTGAGCTTTCCTTGGCCATTTGTGGGCTGAAAAGTATCAAATTATATTGTTCTCCTATTGTGAAAAGTAATTGGACAAAAATGGCACTTCTTGCCTACTGAATACTCCATGTGTGTACTCGGTATTTACTATTGGTAAAATGTGGTCAAGGCAGCACAGTCAAGGGGGAGGAAGGCAGCCTTTATTTTGCTCTCTAGCACATTGTTGAAGTTCAAAACCCAACTGCAGGTACAGATCTGCCCGGCACTCTCAGCAAGGGGAGAGCTCAGGGGCTGAGTGTCTCCACGGTGGAAATGATGTTAGAGCCTTTGTTACTGTGATAATACGAGCACTGGGCAGCTCAGCCTGTCGTGTCGCAGCTGAGACTGCAGAGCTGGCAGGCAGGAAGAGGATCTTCTTACCTGTAAATTGAGAGACATTTGAAGTCCAAAACAGACAATAAACAAGGCCCACACAGTGTCACTGGGCTAGCTGAGTGCAGGACGACAGCTGAACCAGATGCACCTCCAAAAAGGATGCTGCAAGTCAGCAGGTATTCAGGATCATCTCTAAACCTGCATCATTCGAGTCGGAATCGCTAGAGCTGGTAACACCCAGAGCAGGCTTGTTCACTTGCAAGATGCTCGCAGTCCACAGGAAGACAGCGCTGGTGGCATTTTCCTAACTTACATGAATAGAAAAAGAAGTGTCCTTGACCAGGACTCACAGCCTCTTGGTGATAGTGTTTAGTTCTGTGTGGCAGCAGGGTGTAGACTTTCAGGTGCAGCACAACCCTACTAAAGGTTAATCCACAGAGAAGTGGGGGACATGGGTCTACATGTGCCAGCTACCGAGGTTGGAGGTGCATTAAAGCAAAAGGATTAAATGTGGTGTTAGGTGGTTCAAGGAACCACTTTGGTGGCTGGAGATGCTCATGCCACGTGAAACAAAAAGGCCAGGTGTGCCAAACCTGGCTTGCCTGTCTGCTATGTGTGGATGCTTTGTCTTTGCTCATGAAGGAACTGTCCACTCCAGCTGGAGTGACACCGAGGAGCTCAGTCATTCCTTTGTGTTCTACCAGCTGCCTGCTGTTTCTTCATGTACGGTTTTCACAGCATATCATCATCTCATGAGGAGAATTAAGACGTTGTACTCGTCACAATGCAAAGGTTTTATTCCAACACTCCCTCCCCTCTCTGCAGCCCCACTTCTGGTGCAGCCTTGGGGTGCCCTTGAGCCATAAAGGGGCTGATGGCAACTGGCATGTGGTTGTTGGCCTCTCCAGACTGCCATGTCCTTGCACTGTACCACCAGCCTCTGGCTACTGCTGGGGAAATATTCTACCTTCTGGCAGCAGCTGCTGCTACAAGATGCCAAGCTCTATTTACATACAGTTAAATTACCAGCTACAAGGAGAAAATCACACAGGGGTTTTATTTTAACCCTGTTTTCTTGCAGTTGGATGAGATGATCTTTGAAGGTCCCTTCCAAGTGAACTGTTCCGTTCCGTTCCATTCCATGGTCACTGAGACATTTGGGTTTCATTGTTCTCACCACTGGGCTGTGCCAGCAGGCCTGTTTGCTAACCCACGTCTCTGTCTCTTCTGGTCATGTTTCTGTTTTCACTTACCACAAATGACTCTCTCCTCTCTTCTGCTCAAGCTCATGGTTTGCTGACCCAGATGTGATTTGTTATTCTGACATGTGTGATCTTGAATAATGATGAGTGAGGCACATTGGAGTTTATTTTTTTATTTTGTGTTTTTTTTTTTTTTCCTTTGGAGAAAGACGCTTCTGCTGTATTCCTCCTCTGAAGCACCACAAGTCTTATGGCAGTGATAAAATCACTAGTCCTTCACTCACCCTTGACCAAGTCATTACTTCCTGACAGTGCAGGTAGATTTGCTGCTGATCTTGTCTGCCTCAAGCAAGTCACATATTTCTCATACCAACACCATCATTCCACAAAAGCCCTGTTTGGGAGATGCCTGACCTTAGACCATGAGATGGTTTTACAACCCCCATGTCTGAAGACTCAGCAGACTGCAGTACTCAGCGTTACTCTGCTGAGAGCCAGACTACCCTGTAATAGTACCAAACTAATGCAGAGTAAAGGCAACAATTTTTTTTAACACTTGGTTTTTCAAATGCCTGCAGTAAATTGGCTTTTTATATTTGTTGTGTTAGAATAAAACATCCAAACACAGCGGAATACAGAAAAATACAACACAAAGACTCCAGAGCAGTCTGAAAGCTGCCCTCAGGGGTCATTAGGGTTTTCTAGCATTCATTATCTGTTGCAGAATAAATTAAATTGACTTTTGAAGACACATGTACCACTGTTTCTTTTCTATGCTTCTTTCCTTGTTTTTCTTTATCTGGTCAAGAGACCAGAGGAGAATCTTAGAAGGTTATAGATAGGTTGACTTGGATTGGAAGGGACCTTATAATCTAATTCTACCCCACTGCCATGGGTAGGGACACCTCCCACTAAATCAGGTTGCCCAAAGCCCCGTCCAGCCTGGCCTTGAACACCTCCATGGCTAGGGCATCCACAGCTTCTCTGGGCAGTCTGTTCCAGTGCCTCACCACCCTCTGAGTAAAGAATTTCTTATATCTGAACTAAATCTACTCTTTTTCAGTTTAATCCATTACTCCTTGTCCTGATAGAGTCCCTCTCCTGCTTTAGTGAGGCTTGATTCATGTCCTTGTGGTGGAGGGCTGCTGCTGAGGGTAGGAAGGGAACAGAAAAAGCTGAAGAAAAGCAGGAGGGAGCCTGGGGCAAAGTAATGTGAGATATGGGAGTGAGCGTTCCTGTTCTAAAGGGGAGAGTAAGGGTGCAGAGCTGGAGAGGGCAGGGAGGGCTGGGGGAAAGACCTTAGGTGGTGAAAGACACAGCAGAGACAAAGAAAGAGAAACACTGAGTGGAGAGCGACAAGAAGCAGGGAAATGGGGAGGTACGTGGAGAAAAAAGCAAGCCTTGTTGGTGGTTAGTTAGCCTTCAGCACAGTGCTGGAGGGTCACCATCGTATTTCTACCTGAGGTGCTAGCCCATTTTCCAAGAGGCCAATTTCTACCTCAAAACCAGCACTACCACAGTTTGTGCTGAGCAGTTGTGTCCCTGAAACAGACGTGTCACGGGGCGGCTGTCACCTGTGCCCAAGGCATTCAGAGACATCCAGGAAGGTCCTTCCTTGCTCCTGTCCTTGGTCTTGGATGTAATGTGCCCCTGACCCTCTGCACAAGCGCACACCCATGCTTGCACACAGCATTGCTCCTGTCTTGTCCTCCTTAATGAAAAGAACTGGTGTTAGTGCTAGTTTGCCTAATTAGAAGAAATATCAGGGATGAATTAATATTTACACCATTCCGCTTTATATTTTAAATTTTCTCTATCTCTGTAAATTAAGGAAAAACTTTCAAGGAGATCCTGTGAAATGACTCAAGGTGTGTTTTTATTTCTTCTGGCTTAAACTGTTGACATGGAATGTAGGTGGCTAGAGCTGAATTTAGTAGAAGAGCCCACCTCACCTTTGTTTATTGGTGCTTTCCTGTTTGTTAATTCCTGCTTCTTGGTGAATGAGTCTCTTAGCAGACTTCGCTGTTCCAATGACTTTGTCCTCTAGGAAATGGCCCTGAAGGAGAGGAGGAACTTCTCACACCTCAGTGGATGAAGCAACTGGAGTTCCCAGGGAATGACTGTGGTGTGTGAATTGATCTGCTCTTTAGTTCAGCCAGCAATGTCTTTCCTCATGTGCTGTCAGCTCCACTTTCAGATATGGTTATTACCTACTGCAGTACCACAGGCTACATTGCTGCTCTCCCCATAAACCTTCCAAAGTATCTGCAATGACCCAATAAATCATGCAAAGATTTGGGACAGATATATTGAATGACTACTACAAAATCAGACAAACATGGAATCAGCTGGGGCACCTAACAACAGAGAAGCATTGGCTTTTTTACAATATATATACATGTATATATATCTTTTAAACCAAGGGGATTTGAAAATCCCTTGAGACCCACCGCAAGAACTGTTGATGCTGATTCCTGCTGTCGTCTCCTTCCCGACCCAGCAGTAGCTTCTGAAAATTCTCAAGAAGTTTCATTTCAGCCAAAGGAAAAACTGACAAGTTGAAGTTGCCACTGAACATCCACCAGAAACCCTCTTGCTGGCCAGAGGGGTCTTATCTTTATCCCAGAAAACTATGTAAGGGCAAGGCCAAGGGCACAGCGGTGCTATAGTCCAGCACATCATCTTCAAATACACCACCTCAACCTTCCTTTGGCTTTCAAACAGTTTCTTCTCCATTATCAGAGGCGATGGAGATGCATCAGGTTCTGGACATGGTTCTGTGTGTCCACTGATTTCTTGAGGCAGCCCAACTGAAAAGGCTACGAGACAAGACAGTTTCTTCATGGAGAGGGTGGTTGAGCACTGGAATGGGCTGCCCAGGGAACTGGTGGATCCCTGTCCCTGGAGGGGTGGACATGGCGCTAAGGGATGTGATACAGTGATGGGACTTGGTGGGTCAGGTTGGTGGCTGGATTTAATGATCCTGAAGCAGTTGGCAACCTAGAGTGAAATGAGGTGGGTCATTCACCCAAATGAATGTGAAATGAGGTGGAAATTCATTGTTGCTGAGTTAGTTAACTCACCTGAAATACCACCCCAGAGGGTATGGTCAGAATAAAGCTACAGCCAGGTGGGTGTGCTCTCCTCCATCATCTGCCCCTGCTCCCTCACCTCTGCTGGACATTATTTGATTTCTTGGATTTGCAGCACAGCCTTGGGCTTCCTGGTAATTCACAGCCCCTGTGAGAGAGTCTGAGACTGCAGGTAGGCAGGAAGGGTGTACATTTCTTTGTGTTTTCATTTCACGTGTAATTCTCTTTCAACTCACACCACTTGCTCAAAAGAAAATAAGTTTTCCTTATGCTAAAAGGAGAGCAAAGATGAATTTTGATTGCTTTGCTAAGTAGGTTTCTGTCTCTAAATACTTCCTTTTTCCAGTTACAATGCCAGTGCAATCGGTAATAAGAACTTCTTGCTGGGGTTCTAAGAATCTTTTATCATAGTATAACATTTTATTTGCTGCCAAAATTAGTTCAAACTAAATTGTATTGTCCAATTAAAAAGCAGCCATAGCCAATTTTGCCTGTGATGTTATTTTTTTCTTTCTATGCCGTTGTCCTACCTTTAAAGTCCACTGGTAGTAAAACCTTGCACTGCTCAGCACGTCTGGAATAGATTTTCGAGCTCCCACATGTGAGACAGCCGGTGACCCCAAAACCTGTTAAAAGAGTGGAGAAGGGAGAAGGGATTGCTCATCTGTATGCATTTAGGTCACAGGGACCACTGGATAAAAAAAATGTTTCTTACCTGTCTCCTCTTAGCAAGAGCTGAATTGTCAAATGGAGATATTGTTAACCAAACACAGGGGCCCAAAGTGCCTATCTCTGCCAGGCTCAGTTACCACTGAAAAAGAAGATATGGAGGTTTGTTAGAAAAAAAAAAAAAAGGCATCCTGGATGGACTCCCTTCCTCTCCCCCTTCTCTGTTTCTTGCCTCACAAAGAAGCGACCTTTTAAAATCTCTTATCTGGAAGCTTCAGTTTAAAGAGCCGCTGATGCCTCTTGGAAAACACTGAAAAGCTCTTCAGAAGCAGTTCTGCTGCTCCCTGTGTCCTGAGTGCCTTTCTTCTCTCTTTTTCTTTCACTGCTAGATAGATTTGCATTATAAAAGGCTGTTCCTTTGCAGCTTCCCTGTTTGCTGAAGCCTCAGCCTGATTTATAGCATCAGTAAATGGTGTTTGGGCCCAACCTCCCACAACATCTTCTGGATCAGGAGGAAATGGCTGATTCAGAAGGGACTGGATGAAACTTCCCTTGGCACACCAGAATTCAGAACTGAGGAAGGAAAAGCTGAGTGCATTGTATGTCTTTGAAGCTGTCAATATCTAGGCAGAGTAAGTTGGAGATATGAATTTGCCTTACTACGCATTTCTGGTGTGACCCATAAATCTGAAGTTTCCCAGAAGCTGGAGGTTGTGTCCTCAAAACAAAACAAAACAAAACAAAAAAACATTCTGAAGCTGATAAACTTTGGATCTTTGGTCAGTAAGACTGAACTTGCATGTACTTCAACTCTTGGCAATCCAGATTGTCTTAGACTTTTGTGTGTCAGTCTGAGGGGAGGAATGTGTGTCTTTTTTCTATGGGGGGGATGAATATTAATACAGTAATTCAACTGATCTTAGGGACAGAGGAAATCGGTGCCCTTCCTTGCCTTCTTAGGCTTCGTGCAAAAAGTAACATGGCAAAAGTACAGTTGACTGGCTGGCTTTGGATAAAGCAGGATAGCATGGAGATGGAGGCATCAGGCTGGCTTGTGATCACACCACCAGGAAGGGATAGGCTGCTATGGTTGATGTGTTCAGGTCCTACAAACTGGATGTATCAGAAAAATTTCCTGACTGCAGCCTAAGGCATGGCCAGGGGACTCAGGGTGTTTCCAGTCCTTTTCGTGAGGTAACCATAGCTGGTATCTCTCATTTCATCCCAGACAAGTCCTTTTCCTCCTCTTCTTTTTACTCACAGGGCTGCTCAGAAGGCATGGACCAAGTAAAGCCAGTGCCAGGCAGAAAGGGACGGAAGGCCAGCTGCTGGAAGTTAACCGTTGTGGCCGCCGTAGTGGGCAGCGTGATGGCTCTCTACATGGGGATCCTGCTGGGTGAGTGCACAGCTGAGGCTGTTCTTTTGGTTTATCATCTGCTCCAAAAGAGTAATGGTCTGCACAGCTTACAGCAATAGTTCTCATACCAAAAATTCTCAAAAGCCTTTTTCAGAGGCCAAGACGTGGTCAGCTCTCCCCACGTACACAGCCAAAATGCAGAGGCTGTAGTCACCTCATATTTTGAATGACATCTGACTAAAGCACTTCATCCGTAGTGCTGCATGTGATTTATTCCTCTCTGATCTCTTCCAGTAACTCCTAAATCTCTTGTCACTTCCTCAGCCATCTTCTACCTCATCTTGCATCCACTGACCATTGCTTGTCCTACTGTCCTCTAGAGTGTGACCACCATCTCCTTGTCTCTCGCACATCCTTCCTGCTGCCTCTGGTGCCCTATGGCCAGATGTCACCTCAGGCTGGGATGCTGGTGTGGAGCCCAGCCTGATGTGACTGGCAGAGCCCACCAGCACATCTCTGCTGTGTGGTACCACTTTCTATGCTGACTTTGGTAATCAGGACACATTTCCTCAGCCTGTTCCTGCAAGGACAGGGCCAGTCTGATTGGCCAGTCTCAAGCTGTACCCATTTGATTCTGATCTGTTTTCTCAGGCTTGATAAAAATCTACAGTGTTAATATTCAAATTAGCTACAAATTCAAAATTCTCCTCCTGCATATGTGTGGGGTAGCCCAGCACAGCCATGTGGCACCCACAAATCACCTCAGAGATGGTCAGGGACAGTCAAGCTGCTGAAAGTTGGGGGTCTTAAGGACATGGAGAGACCAATACTCCAAAGCAGACAGCAAAGAAAGCTGGGTCCAGCCATGGCCCTAGACCTCTGTGTGCCCTCTGTGTCTCTAACAGACACTTTCCCTCTCTGGCAGCCTGTCATCCCGTGGGAGAGACCAGCTTTGAGCACACAGTGGAGCTGCAAGGAATCATATTCAACAGCAGCTTGCAGAGGGAGAACTCGGACTATTACAGGGTGCTGACACCTGCTCTTGAGAGGCTGGTAAGTTGAGCTGGGCTTGCCATGCACACCGCAGCTCTGCACCCCTTGCTTGGCACAGGACAGAGCCAGGAGGCTGCTGGGTGGCCTGGGCCCCATCCCTGCTGAGGTCTGTGCCTGTGTGGTTCCCCAGGGCCCAGCTTGGCTGTCCTCATTCAGGGGCTTCTTAAACATCAGCAAGGAACACTGCAGGGCTGAGCTGCACTTCGAGAGGCCTCATCAGGGCCCCGAGAGAGACTTGTGGAGTGGGAAATGTGTGCTCAGGTCTGCTCCTTGCAAAAAAGAGGTGGTGGGAAGATGTTATCTTCATGCCCTGAACCAGGGTAGGAATAGGGTTACGTGTGTTCTGATGAGCTGGACCCAGGTGCTCCTGCCATCTGTGGAGGCAAGAAGATCCTCCAGTTAGCTCCAGCTCCCTGAAAAATACTAGGCACCAACTAAACCTATCTCATAGGGGTTTTCTGCCCAGTGTGTGACCATTGTTCTTTGCCTTGCAGTTTCTGTCCAGTTTCCAGGATTCCCAGCTGGACTGGAGCTGCACTGGTTGCACCATCCTGGGCTACAGGTGAGTGTAGGCAGCTTTGTCTGCAGACTGTGCAGCTCATGTTTTCAGGACATTTTGACAAGATCCACCAAAAAGTGAGCTCACAGCTGTATTTTTGTTCAAGACTAGCAAAAAGAGAAACTGATTTTAAGTTGAGGCTGGATTTTTTTTTATGGGATTGCACCAGTGTTCTGGTTTCTTTAATTTGGAAGTGTAGTCAGAAAGGCAGAGGAAAATGGCCTTGTTCAACCAAAGGAGAATATTGGGCCAAAGAGAATGTGAATGACTGTTTCACCCCAGACCACACCTCCAGAAACACTTGAGCCTTAAATTATTAAGAATTAATTTTGTTTCCCTCAAGTTCCCTGTAGGCAGTTAGCACAAGAAACTATTGCTTCTAATGGAGCCAAAGTGCTCAGTAATTGTCTGTTTTCCAGCAGGAATGGGAACTCAAGCGTGCTTGTCCGTTTCCGTCTCCGCTTCAGCCCCCAGGATTCCCATCCCCTGAGCTCTGCCACGGAGGAGGAAGCTCTCAGACACGGCCTGGCAGCTGCCCTGCACGAGCAGGGTCTCTCCCTGGCTGCCTATGGGACGATATCCTCAGCTTCTCTTACAGGTGTGCTCCTCCCATAACTGCTGGGCAACCAGAGCAAGGCAGCCTGTGCTGGTGCTGCTAGCAACACGGGTCATACCAGCAAAACTGTCTTGGGGCTTTAGCTTTGGATGTCCAGTCAAGGCTTCGTGCCCAGCAGCAACATTAGAAATGGAGCTGCTGCCAGGCACCTCCAAAAGATGCTCTGGTGCTTCACGAGACAGCAGCAGAAACACGCTTAGCTCCTGGCAGTTGCAAAACAGCTGGAAGCTTCATGGGAAGCCCCCCAGATCCCCCTCCAATGTCCTGCTGCTCTCTGCGCTGCAAGAGTTGTTTTGGGAGTCTGGGGCAACAACAGAGCCTAAAGCACAAATTGCAGCCTGAGGAACCAAACCTCAGCAGGTTAATTGCTGGGTTGCCTCTACTGTGAGCAGTCCTTAAGCAGTCCTCAGAGCTGCAGAAATAATTCCTGCTAGGGTGGATATTTCTCATATGTAAATTCTTCTCTGAATCCACCTGGAATTCACTTTTCCCTCAATAACTGTGCAGTTGCACGTGATCGTAGGCCTTTCAAAAGAAACATGCCCAGAAAACCTGAAGCTGTGGGCTCCCCTGCAGCTCCCTCTGTGCTCTCTGCAAGGATGGGCAGAGTTCCAGCCCTCTGAGAGCCTTGTGCAGCCCAAATGGAGGGTGCACCTCAGCTTTGGGCAACAGCCCCGTGTCGCTTCCACCTTGGAGCCTGCTCCTGGGCTGCCGATCACTGCCACAGCTCTTGAGAACTGGTCCCTGCACCCCAAAAGCCTGCAGGGCTATAGGCAGCTGCTCACCCGCTGCACCCTGTGCCTACGGTGGAGCAAAGTGGAGGAGGGCTCCAGGAAGCGAACTGTGCCAGGAGCTCACCACAGGGCCTCCCACTGGCCATGGGATGGGGAAAGCAATTGCCAGGCAGGCAGGAAAAGGTGAAGCAAAGCCTCTGCCAGTCCTGGCTGGGAGTGACAGTCATGAGAGCACACAGCTCCTGTACACCCCACCTGCGATGCTCTTGCTGATCCCCATTCCTTCCATTTGTTACAGGTCCCAGTGAGGTTTCTCCATACAGACCAGGACTGAAATCAGGTAAGAGCCAGGCAGCAGGAAGAGCTCTGTGCCTTTCTAAGCGTTGCCAGGGCAAAGATCGGCCCCAGTTCCCCAGGTTGCATGCTGCAGCCTGACCTCTAGCCTCCTCCTCACCAGATACAAAAGGTGTTTGCATCCCATCTTGTTCATAACCTGGTGAACCAGTGCTCTGCTCCCCTGTTCCCCCTGGAAGCTCAACAAGAGCTGCAGCTCAGCTGCCGGCTGCATCCCATGGGGACACTGGCACTGCCGGGAAGCAGGGTGAGCACGGACACAGTGGTGGTTGCCCCTGGGGGAGCCAGGGGGCAGCTGCTGGGAGGTCTGCAGAAGACACAAGTGACTGAAGCCTTGCTGTCCCCAGGGAGCTGCCCCGGAGACTTGTTCACTTGCCGCAACAAGCAGTGCGTGTCGAAAGAAAACCCAGAATGTGATGGCCAAAAGGACTGCTCTGATGCCTCTGATGAAAAGGGCTGCGGTGAGTCCCTTGCAGCAGGTCTCCTGGGGTCTGGGGACAGGCCCCCAAGTCACCCCTTGCAGCCATAACAGCACCGGTCTTCTGGGCACTGTGCTGCAAGGACAGCTTAACTTCTTAGGCCAATAGTAGATGCTGACATCAGGACAAGGGGACTCGTACCTGAAAAACATGCTGGTCCCATTGCCAACAGCAAAGGAGTAACACAATGTAGGGATAGAGCAGCACATTGCCATAAGCCCGTGAATCCCACATGCCCAAGCTGCAGACATTCAGTGGATGCAGTCAGCACCCACTGACATTGCCCCAGAAGCCTGGCCATGAGGCCATGCCCAGCCCCATATCAACACCCCTGGCAGTGTGGAGCTTGAGCTATCTTTGGGCCTTGATGATCCTTCAGGGTCCCTTCCAACTCAGGATATTCTATGATTCTATGATTCTATGATACTTGAGACATGTTTTGGTTACAGACTTGGTTGCTCAGAAGAAGAGTAGAGGCAGAGTACCAGGAGACCCAGGCACCCTGCAGGCATCTCCCACGATCACTGCTGAAGATAGGGAGCCTCTCACATTCCCCTTGTAATGCTACCACTCCCCTGTGCATACCCAGTCTGACCCTGTACAGATGGTGTAAGTCCAGGGACCAGCCCATCCCCTCCTGCTGTGCTGGAGGCAATCTCTGCGCACCCATGGGCTGCTGGAAGCAGCTCAGCAGTGGCTGAGCTTGTGAAACTAGCAGAGCTATTTCTGTCTAGACTTTCTTGCCATAAGGAGTTTCAGAGAGGACCCTGTGATGGGTCAGTGCTTTGCAGAGCCTTTTTTTTCCAGAATTGCAGGTTAAAGTCCAGTCCCTTGTGACATCCCTAGCAGTGTACTGGTACTTGAGCACGTGTTGGGAGCATGCACAAAGCTGAAGCAGATTTTTTTCCCACCTGCCCCAGAAAGCACACTGACAAGGCACAGCGGGCAGGATCCTGATGCCCTGGCTCTCTCCTCCCTTTCAGACTGCGGGAGCCGCCCTGCCATGCAGACTGCCACCAGGATAGTTGGAGGCTCAGAGGCATCCAGAGGGGAGTTCCCATGGCAAGTCAGCCTGCGAGAGAACAACGAACATTTCTGTGGTGCTGCAATCCTCACAGAGAAGTGGCTGGTGTCTGCTGCTCACTGCTTTACTGAGTAAGCCCTAGCCACGCTATCTTGCACCATTTCCAAAAGCTGCTGTAGCTTCTGGCCCAAGTTCCCGAAGTACCACACTGCCTCGTCAAGCCTGGTTTCCTTTCCCTGCCAGATTAAGGCATGGGGAGCTGATGTCCCAGAGCTGATAGCAGGATGGACGAGAGGTGGCACCACTTGCACGGCTCTGGTTTGCAGGGTGCCGCTGCAGGTCTGCAAAGCCCCAGCTGTTTCTCTTCCAGATTTCAGGACCCAGCCATGTGGGCAGCTTACACGGGGACCACCTCCATTAGTGGTATGGACAAAGGCACAGTAAAAATGGGCATTGCACGGATCATCCCGCATCCCTCCTACAACACAGACACAGCTGACTACGATGTGGCTGTGCTGGAGCTGAAGAGACCCGTGACCTTTACTAAGTACATCCAGCCTGTGTGCCTGCCAGATGCTGGGCATCACTTCCCCACCAGCAAGAAGTGCCTTATCTCTGGCTGGGGCTACCTCAAGGAGGATTTCTGTAAGCAAAGTGTGGCAGGCGGCAGAGGAGGCATGGTGGGGTGTGAGTGGTGCAGGAATGCACCAGGGAAGGGCACTCAAGCCATGCTCTGGCCAGCCAGGATGGCTGTAACACAAGGAGCTGGTCCCATGCGAGGCTTCCTGCGGGGAGCTAATGGTTGCATCTCTCCCATTTAGTGGTGAAACCCGAGTTCCTGCAGAAAGCAACAGTGGAGCTGCTGGACCAGACGCTGTGCTCCAGCCTCTACAGCCATGCCCTCACAGACAGGATGTTGTGTGCTGGCTACCTGGAGGGGAAAATAGATTCCTGCCAGGTAAGCATTGTCCAGGGAAGCTTGCACACCTCCCAGCATGAGTCTTTTCCTTCCCTGTATGCACCAAGTAGTACTTCAAGAAGCGGGCTCTGACAGCATGGGCACAGCATCCCACCAAGGTCTGAGGCCACACCTTGGATCCAAGCATGGATGAGGGACTGCAAAAGAGCAAAATGAAGATATATTCTGTAGTGCTTAGAGCAGGGCTCTGCTGTTAAAAGAGTTTTTTGGGAGCTATATAACTACTTTTCTCTATTTGTTGACCTGTAATCAGGTCTGGTGTTACCGACCTACCTGCCAGCTGCCTCAGATGGAGCTGCCAGGTAGGTTGGTAACATCCCGCTGGCAAAGAGCAGAAGTGGAAAGTAAAATATATACAACAGATCTTGGTGAACGACTTGATGGTTTTCCTAGATAGCTTTTATCCAGTCTGGAAGTGCTGGAGAAAACCCTGCCTTTCACAATGTGTGGGGAGAAAACACTGTGCTGTGAGAGGGGGACAGTGATTTCCATGGCTGCTCCTGTGGTTTGTCAGGGCCCTTCATAGCTGCAGCCACTAGCTTAGCAAAATTGCTCTTCTGTGGTGGCAGCACTTCATATTGCTGCAAACACTCAAGCACCACATGTAGCACAAACACTGGAGAGGGAGACAAGGATGGACGATTTGAGGTTGGGTGATGAACTTGACTTATCAAATTATTATCCATGTAGAACAATCCCATCCTCCAGCTGGGACTGCCAGCTTCACAGATACCAACTGTGTGCCCTACAGCAATGACATATAGCCCCATGGTACCAAAGAATTGACCAGGGACTATAAGCCAAATCAAAAAGCACCATGCAAAGATTAGCATGGCCTCTTTGTGTCATGCAATGATCGCCTATAATCTGGCTGTTGAGGGGCTGTGGACCTAACCTTTAAGAGCAGCAGCTGAACAACTCATACCTGTAGTAATGCTTGCACTAGATTTTATGGAGGAAAACCTTGTGCTCTTCTGTCATATCAAGGGCACAAGTCTACTGCTTAATAGTAGGACAGTGCCTACATAGTGGAGCACCCAAAGGTCAGCATAGGAGAGGCTTCACTCATCACTAAGATGGAGCAAATCAGCAGGGGTGAGTGGGGCTACACAGGTAAAGAGGAACACAGACTTGCAAAGTTATGCTTGAGGTGGCTGTGGCAAGCTTGGAGCATCCCCAGGAATAGTTCACCATCTGGGCTTCCCTTGCAGGGTGACTCTGGTGGGCCCCTGGTTTGTGAAGAACCATCTGGCAAGTTCTTCCTGGCAGGAATTGTGAGCTGGGGAATTGGATGTGCTGAAGCCAGACGGCCTGGGGTCTACACACGTGTTACCAAACTGAGAGACTGGATCTTGGATGCTATTTCGCCCTTTCCCAACTCCATAGAGCGTACTGTCCCACTAATACACTCCAGTACTAACAGTAACGTGGTCACCACTGAAGAGCTCAACACCACCACCCCCAGAGCAATCCCCACCACCTCACCAGCCCCAGCTGCCAGCAAGCCAGCACCTGCAGCCAGACCACAAGGTAAGAGACCGCAGGGTGGCTACAACCTTTGCAAGAACAGAAGCTGGTACAGGTCCAATTGCAAGATTCGTTGTTCCACTGAGCTGAAATTACCTTTGGTAGGGTGACCCACAGAACTGTTACTTAAGTGCCAAGGGCACAAGTGACACTATCTGGTTGCCCTGGGTTACTCCAGAGCAGCCTGGCAGTCATTCAGTACCGGCACAGATGAGTGTCATGGACTCAGGCCCAGAACAGGGCCTAAGGGACCAGGGACTACAACATAGCAGTGCCTGACACTGCTTAACTTGTTGATCACTCACTTTTGTTTGCCAGCTATGAGTTTCCCAGAAGTTCAAAGCCGATGGCTGTAACCTAACAGCAGCCATGCACCTTCTCACTGAAGTTCCCTTCAGGAAGGTTGGTGTCTACAGATTGATTTGTCAGATCCAAGGAGTCCTCCCAGCAACTCTGCAAGGAGATACAGATGTTAGGTATTTTTCTAAATTTAGGATTAACTTTCTATCTAGAATACCAGGGCTAAGAGGCACAAACCTGCTGTGGTTACTCTATTTTCAAGAAAGGCATAGACCTAAGGACTTGCTAAGAGCAAGCTGCAGAACAGCAGTTAGGATGAAGGCCCATGCATGGCTGTGCACAAACACCATCACAGAACCCCATGATCAGCAGGCAGGGCTTGGGCAAGTATCTCAAACTTCAGCCCTGACTTGTCCCTGCTCGGACTTACTGGTTAGAGAGAGCAGAAGCCTCTTCTCACTTGTCTTCTGCTCACAGTACTCACAAATCATGCTTTGGCTTTTTTTCAGAGTGTGGAGGACGACCTGGGCTCTCTAAACCCAGCAAGATCGTGGGAGGAACAGATGCTTCCAGAGGAGAGATCCCCTGGCAAGTCAGCCTGAAAGAAGACTCGATGCATTTCTGTGGAGCCACCATAATTGGGGACCGCTGGCTGCTGTCAGCAGCTCACTGCTTCAATGAGTAAGAGTTCATCTGGTGAAAAGCAAGGACGTGCACTGAACATTCATTTTTGTTATAGCTAGAGGTTAATAGTAAAAACAGTTTTGTGGGGAGGCTGGGATGAGTCAAGGAAACATTAAAAAGGCCCAGACACAGAGTGAGAACAACACACTTGACAGGGGTGGAAAAGGGCAAATGCCATAAGATGGCATATAGAAGTGCCACGGGACAGCAGCTCTCTGGGCAGTGGCAATTAAAGAGCAAATGAATGCTAGTGATTATTAGAAAAACAACCGAGATTACCAGTTTGTTAGTACTTAGATCCACTGCAACTCACTTCTCACATACTGCACACAGTGCTAGAGTAACACATTGTAAAGAATGACACAATACACACTGCAGAACAGCATCCAAAACAAGCATGACATACGCCAGAATAGACATTGGGAACGAGAACTGGGTGGTAAGGGAGTGTGTTGTAGGGTCTATGCAATTATGAAAGGTACAAAGTATTTAGGGAATGCCTTCTTATTGTTTCTGCTTATTAGATTAAGCCATTAAGAGCAGATGGGAAACAAGAAAAAGGAAGCAGTTCTTCATAAACGATGTTAAACTGTGAAGTTTTTCATCATGAGAAGTGATGAGAATATTTAAAGTCCACATGGGGTTAAAAGATTAAAAGACAATTGTAGAAAAACTCTAAAAAAAAATCCACATCTGTCAAGATATTCTGAATATAGAGGCATCACTTGCATGCCGGAACACTCCTGAAATCACAAGTTTTTGGAGGCAAGGAGAGGATTACTACATGTTCACCCTCTCTTGACATCTAACAGGTGCCACTGCTGGAAAGAGAGGTTCAGCCCCTTGTGTATGCTGGGCTCCGCTTTGGTAAAGTCAGGTTTCAACCACTAATCATTTAAAGTTGTCTGCAGCTTAAATAATCTACCAGCTCAGCATTTAAGCTAGGTACATGTGTGTGTGCATACATATTTAGGACTATGTATTTACAGGACAGATCCAGAAGAGATTGAAGCCTACATGGGAACGACATCACTAAATGGAACAGATAATAACACAGTGAGAGTCAATGTAACAAGGGTCATCCAGCATCCTCTCTTCAACCCTATCCTTCTGGACTTCGACGTGGCTGTACTTGAGCTGGCAGAACCCCTTGTCTTCAGCAAATACATCCAGCCCATCTGCCTCCCGCTTACGGTGCAGAAGTTTCCTGTTGGCAAGAAATGCATCATTTCTGGGTGGGGAAACCTCCAAGAAGGGAATTGTAAGTACTGGTGCCTTATCAGTTGATTTGCTCTGGAACAGTGACAGATTGAGCAGCAAAGCCTGTACCACTGTGACCCAGACAGGTGTGCTACCAAAGAGGCTCCACTGTCCTTATAACCATTGGCAAGGAGCCCACAAACTGTGACAACAATAGAAACTTGCTGCCTGTGCCCTGTAGCCTGTAGACGGGCATAAAACTGCATCCTGGCGTGAACCAGGAGCTGCAGGGGCTTCCTAGATGAGAGTAGCTCATACAGGATTCATCTCTCTTCTGGGATTAGAGGCTGTTTTTCTGAAGCATGTGTTGGACCATCCTAAAAGCCATTAGGTCTCACTTCTGTCTGCTGCATTCAGTAATCCCTTGGTTTCCATGCAGTCACCAAGCCTGAGAGTCTGCAGAAAGCTTCTGTGGGCATCATTGACCAGAAGACCTGCAACTTCCTCTACAACTTCTCCCTCACTGACCGAATGATCTGTGCTGGCTTCCTGGAAGGGAAGATAGACTCGTGCCAGGTAAGAGTCTAGGATTTCTCTACTCTGCAGATTGCTCCAGAAAACCGGGCTAACTTACAAGTTATGGCTTTGAGAAATATTTACTGAGTTCCTGCAGCTAGGCTGAAACCCACGTGTACTTTAACTCAAAAGAACAGCTCACTGCCACAGGGCTTTAAAAAAAAAAAAAAAAAAAAAAAAAAACGAACAAAAATTAAGCATGACATAAACCAACATCCTGCAGGTCTCCTGTGGCAGTAGGACAAAGTGGCAGATGTTGATGACTCTCCTTCACTAGCGGAAAGGTGCTGTCAGATATTAGCATTCATAACAAATGCCAGAGTAACTGCAGCCAGGCTGTTTCAGCCTCTGCACACTCATGTTTTGCACACTGTGTGGGAGCAGAGTCCCTCAGAGCTCCCTCAGAAAAATCTGAAGTTAGCCAACTCCTCCTAGTGTGGCTGAGGAGCAACTCTATGCAGACGTGTCTTGGGGAGAGTGGGCTGAGCAGCCACTGCCTTGCTTCTTCTTCAGGGAGATTCAGGTGGGCCCTTGGCCTGTGAGGTCACCCCAGGTGTCTTTTATCTGGCTGGCATCGTGAGCTGGGGAATTGGCTGTGCCCAGGCTAAGAAACCTGGCGTGTACTCCAGAATTACCAAATTCTACGACTGGATCCTGGATACCATCTCGCAGTATGCCAGTCCTGGCACAAGCACTCCTTCCAGTTCAGCCATCACCAGCACTTCTACTGCAGCCATCCTCACACGCCACGCCAGTACAACAGCTGCAATAGCCATCAGCAGAACCACCCTGAGCATGAAGACCACCACACCCACAAAAGAAACCTCCACTGCTCTGGGAACCACAGAGCCTGCCAAGCCCACCCAAACCCCAGGTAAAAGTCCATCAGTAGCAACTTTACTGACATGCTGCTAGGAGACCTCCGGCCCCAGGCGGCAGGTACTAAGCAGGCCGTGGATTATTGCCTTCCAGTGGTGCCTTGTACCAGCTTCACCTTCAGGTGTTCCAGCAATGTCTGTATTGGAAAGGAAAATCCTGAATGTGATGGAGTTGTTGACTGCAGCAATGGCTTTGATGAAAGCAATTGTGGTGAGTCCTGTTTTTCAACCTGACACTGCTACCTGTCTTTATTCCATATTCAGGCTCCCCAGTGCAACCCATAAACTTCACATGAGCTGTCTGGGACCAGCTCCTTGTGGTCCTGGTCTTACTTGATGTTTGAGAGACTACAAGATAAACCAGGATGAGCAGTGTCCAAATTTTCTACCAGGGAACGTGGCCTATTCTATACTATAACCATTAGACACATTTCCCAGCACACAGACCTCCTTCCAGTGTGCTAGAGCAAGCTGGCGTGACAGCTCTGCACAGTATTGCAGCCCAGATCTCATACTATCTTGGGACTGTTCCTAGGACTGCACATCCCTTGCTGTGTGACAGCTCGGCCAGTGCATCTGAATTTGCCATCCTCACATAGCACATCCCCGGAAGGCATGGCGTGTCATAACAAGGAAATGTTTCCAACCTGTATAACGTCTGCCAAGCCTTGCTTCAGATGCATGAATGAAATTCATCACATCCTACTGCCTTGTGCATGTCTCTCCAGGACACTGCTCCCTGGTAGGGGCTGTGGAAGGACAGGTAGCCCTTTCCCTTAGTCACAGAACCATGGTGCCTTTTTCTGTTCCAGACTGTGGCTTAACTTCTGCTCTGGCCTTCAGCAAGATCGTGGGTGGGAGCACTGCAGCTCGAGGAGAATGGCCCTGGCAAGTCAGCCTCTGGCTTCGGCGGAAGGAGCACAAGTGCGGGGCTGTCCTCATCGCTGACAGGTGGCTGCTCTCTGCAGCTCACTGCTTTGATATGTAAGTACAGGCGGGTGACGCCGGCCAGCCTCTGGCCACACTGCCACCTTCCCCTTCCTCATGGTCCAACGCCACAGCTGGGGTGCTGTGCCCCACTGGAAGCACACACTGCCTGTTACAGGTGTGCCCCTACAGGTAAGCAGGAAGAAGATTGAAAGGAGCAAAGCCTGGGCATAGCTGCCCACACTGTGATGGAGACAGGGGCCCTGGCCTCACACGTGGCCACAGTGCATCCCAGCCACACAAGCGGAGGAATGGCACTTCTTGCTAAGCCGTGCTCCTAACGGCCAGGTTTGTTGTCTTTCTGCAGTTACAGTGACCCCAAAATGTGGGTGGCCTTTCTAGGAACACCCTTCCTGAATGGCATCGATGGCAAAATGGAGAAAATATTCCGTATCTACAAGCACCCTTTTTACAACGTCTACAGCCTGGACTACGACGTGGCGCTGCTAGAGCTGAACATGCCCATCAAGTTCAGCAGCACCATCAAACCTATATGTCTCCCAGCCAGTTCACACATCTTCCACGAAGGAGCCAGATGCTTCATCACAGGCTGGGGTTCCACGAAGGAAGGAGGTACTGGCTGAGAGGGCTACCTCACATCCATGATGGCCACGTTAAGTGCCAGCTACCCTGCAAGGCCAAACATCTCCATCCCCGCTCCACTGCCCCACATGCTACCCCTGACAGACCATACCCTGCTGGGGATACCACCCTGGGCAAAGCCTTGTGCCACCATGATCTCCTCTCCAGCAACCACACGCTGTACCCATCCCTTTGGTTACACCTCTGCCCTCCTGCAGCCTTCCCAAGCTTTCTACATGCATCACACTCCCCATCCCTCTAACAGCTGGCTCAGCTATGCTCCTGCAGTATGAGGACCACCCTGATACAATTTCTATCTGCTCAGCTGCTCTGCCTGCCAAACTATACACCAGAGACCTTCCTGGGCTTGCTCTGCTGGGGAAGAACCAGGCCTGGTACACTTGAGAAAGTGCAGATCTCTCCCTTTAGAACACAAGCAAGGCTGCAGAATCCCCACTCTTACACATGCTGCTGTTACTTACGTGCCCTGCACCAAGTTAACAGAGATACTTTCCTCCTCAGGTCTAATGTCAAAGGATCTGCAAAAAGCAGCAGTGAATGTGATTGGAGACCAGGCCTGCAAAAAGTTCTACCCTGTCCAGATCAGCAGCAGGATGGTGTGTGCTGGTTTCCCACACGGTACCGTCGACAGTTGTTCGGTGAGTGTGAGAGCAGCAAATGCTGCTGCAGGGCCAGCAAACTCGTGCAGAATCCCCGTGCTGTTATCATCCAGGACAGCCTTGCCCTGCCTCCCCAGCTCAGATGTCTGCCCACCCATCTCCGCTGCCAGTTGCCACCACTGGAATCCATCCTGCACCTTGTTCTGCTTGTCCCACCAACCCGTGACAGGTCAGGGAAACGTGCAGAGAGGTAACACCAAGCAAGATATCACAGGGATATCATGAAGCCCATTTCACGTCCCTGCTGTGTCTCTGGAAATGCTCTTCCATGTCCCAAAGTCCCCATCTGTGGGCCCTCCAGCTTGGAAACGGGCTCCCAAGGAGGTGGGCAACAGGACAGCAAACACTCCCATGTCCCAAGAGCAACATCTCACAGCTGGGGGGCCGGGCTGGCTTGACTCTTTTTGCCTTGATACAGGACCCTTTTCCTCTCTCTGCAGGGTGATGCTGGCGGTCCTCTGGCATGTCAAGAACCCTCGGGAAGGTGGTTTCTAGCAGGAATCACAAGCTGGGGCTACGGCTGTGCCAGGCCGTACTTTCCTGGTGTCTACACTAAAGTCACAGCTGTCCAAGGCTGGATTGCGCAGAACCTCAAGCTCTGAAGCTGCATTTTACCACTCAGGGAAGGCAACGAATGACAGGGGATGCATTAACCCTGCACCTACTGTACGTTTTTTGATACTGCGAAAGGGTAACGGTGACCTGCAGGTATTAAGCAGATGAGTCTGTTGTGAACCTCTGCAGTCATGGCACCAGGGTATTTGGTAACTGCTTTGCATAGAGAGGTGCAGTTCTAGACGTTTTTTCTATAAATAAATGAGGCCTGTCCCATCTTCAGAGCTGGCCAAACATCCTACGCATCAAAACCTGGCCTTTCAAGTTGGAGTGGTGCCAGAAACATCTGCCAGAGATTCACGTAGTGTGGTCTAGCTCTGTCTGTGCACTGTCCTCCCAAGGGCCATCCAAGAGATGAGTAGACTTTGTCCCAGCCCTGAGCTGAAGCCTCAAGACCTCACTGCCTGGATGGAGTTGTTATAATGTGCAATGGCTTTCAGAAAGGGCATGCTACCACTTCAAATCAATGCTTGGTACTAGTGCCTGTAAGCTCCACGGCTTACCATTTGATCACAAGAGAAGCTTAGGATTAAGACACTTGGACTTCAGACTGCCCAGGCCCTCATCCACATTAAAGAATCAGTACAGGCTTCTCACCCCTGCCACAGCTCCCTTTGTGTAAGTTGATTCAGTTGTTGAGGGCTAAGGCATAGCAGCCACACAGAGCACTGTTCTGGTTAAGCCTGGTGGGAAGAATTCAACATGCTGGGAGTGGCCCAAGCATCCAATTCATCCAGTGGGAAGCCCAGTCCTGCTAGCTGGCTAAGGCACACAATTGCATTTGTTCTGAAGAAAAAAAATGCTGCAGAGCTTGTGTGCAAAGTCTTAGATCTGGACATCTCTTCATAGACTTGACCATCAAAAGAGAACAAAGGTTAAATTCTGTTAGTTTCCCAACCCTACATGTATTCCTAGGATTTTGCAGGTAAGCTGTGCATCAGGGTACAGCAGTAGGTTTTTAATTTCCCAACCTGCAGAATCATAGAACGATCTAGGTTGGAAAAGACCTTCCAGATCAAGTCTAGCCATCAATCTGACCCACCGAGTCCCGTATCTGTCACATCCCTTAGTGCCATGCTCATCTGGCAGTGAGACCCACAACATTCCCAGCTAGAGCGCCAGCAAGGGGGGAGACCTGGCTTCTATGCTCAGCTCACAGCAGGTTCAGTTCCAGAGCTGGAAAACTTGTGGGATGTTCCCGCTGCTGAAACAGGACTGCTGCACAGCCAGGACCACAAAATTCAAACTGAAAGAAAAGTAAAAAGACCCCTGTAAGAACATGGCTGGAAGGCACTTGTATTTTCAAGTACTCAGTCTGCTTGATTTGGGTGGGAAACTCCAGTTTAGTTTCAATTATTCCAAACTTCCAGATCTCTCTTAATATATTATCTTGTGAGAGCACTTTCTTCCCTGTACTGAAGCCACCACACTGGAAGATGAAATGAAATCCAATTTCCCCCTCATTCCTTTGATCATCCTAGCGGGTTAAGAAGTCAGTCTCTTCTGGTCTGTCTCTCTGCCTCAGCCAGTACTGAAATATTTTATAAAATATGGAAGTGCTGTAACAGAAGGAATTCCAAAAACGTCACTACAGGGGTACAGGCATTTTTAATATCCAACACACTGCTCTTCCAGCTGCTGGCAGACCACACAACACATAACGACCATTCCAGGTGTGGTGTGCAAGCTAAGCACAATACTGTGTACCTGCAAAGGAGAAGTACCGTTACAGAAGTGCTCCTTCCCAAAGAAACGAAACCTGAAAGGTAGGCTCCAAGATGGAATGCTCTTGTCAGTACCAAACCAGAAGTTACAGAAAATCACAGCCACACATTTATTTTTTTCCTTTGAAGAAATCAACCTGTGTAGTTCCTAACCCATTTCACACACAGTCTATTTGCAAGGCTGTGCTGTGAGCTCAGTAAGTATGCCCTTGGCTCCCAGTGCACTGCTTGAGCTAAATCTTCATTTCAGCCCCGCCAACAGCTATATAAACACAAGGGAGGAAAGGGCCAACTGCGGCTTGGGGAACATCTCATTGCAGTATTTCTACTGATGAAAAGGGACTAGGTAACTACCTGATGGCTGGGTCCAGGCTTGCTTCCTGGGCAAGGGCACTCTGCTGCTGGCTTGGCCCCCCCTTTTCCACAGAAGGCTCCTTGCCTCGCACAGCCGGGATTTATCAGCCGCTATAATATGCCTTGGCCAGTTGGGACCGTTGGGAAGGGCACGAGGCAAAACAGCAGCTCACGACGGCTCTCGAGGCTGGAAAATTCACTCACTCCTGGGTTTTGGTGCTAATAAAAGCCAAAGGATGCAAACGGTTCAGCGAGGGTTTATTGCTCTGCCACGGCAGGGGCTGGGGAGGCGGCGGGATCTCGCCCCCAACCACCTGGACTGGCCGCTTGTCCCTTCCCCGCATGGTCCCTCCCTCGTTCAGGAGCCGGGAAGCTTCACATGTTGGCTCTCTCCCGCTGCAGCCGCGAGTTGTAGGCTCGGGAAACCGTGTTCCAGGAGTCCATGTAGCGATCCATGCACATGGCGATGCACTTCTGCGGCAAAAAATTAAAAAAAAAAAAAAAGGCCCTGAGCTGAGGAGCGACGCCGGGGTCACCCCTCGGCTCCTCGCCTTGCCCCGACCGCGCTCACCTGCTCCGAGTTGTCCAGCGAGCCGCCCGGCTTCCCGATGCACTTCCGAAAGCATTTGTCCGTCATGCGCTGCGGAGAGAGGCCGTGAGAGGCGGCCGCGGACCCCGGGCTGGGGGCACCGGGCCGGGACCGCCGCTGCCCTTCCCCCGCCCCCCCCCCCCCCCCCCCCCGCCGCTGAGGCGCGGCTCAGGCCCCGCCGCCCCCCTCACCTGTAAGAGCTCCTGCGCGTTGGCCACGGCGATCTGCACCTTCACCTGCTCCATGATGAGCCCCGGGTCCAGCTTCCCTCCCCCGCTGCCCCCGGAGCCGAAGTCGGAGCCGAAGTCGGAGCCGAAGCCGCTCTCCATGCCGCAAAGTCACCGCGGGCAGCGGCCCGCACGCTTCCGCCCAAATGGCCGCCGGCCGGAACTACAGCTCCCAGCGTGCCCCGCGAGAGGCCCAGGGCCGGGACTACAACTCCCGGCATGCCCCGCGCCGCGCTCCCTCAGCCGCCCGGGACCGCCGCCGCCGGGGTGCTCGCACTGTGGGCTCCGTTCCCAGGCCGCCAAATAACTCGCCCGTTCCTGCTGGGTGGGCTGCGAGTGCCAGACCTGTGACATTTTGCAAGTTAAATACGGCGCAGCGCTGGGGTATCGGGTTTAAAGCAGAGCCTCACACGCTGTGGCGGCGGGAAGGGAGCGAAGTCAGCTTTACCTCAGAGAAAAGCGCTAAAAAATGTCCTCAGGTGCCACTTCCCAACATCACGGTGAGCAGTAGGATTTGGGCACCCTGCAGAGAGCAGCTCCCCGGTGAACCTTCTCGTTATGGGATTGAGCCGTGTTCCCTCCAGCCTAGACACCTGGCTCAGCAAAGCGGCTCATGCCCTGAGCACCCGCACAATGGGACAGCCTCCAGGACGCTGGAGGAGGTCATAGAATCAAATGGAGGATGGTAACACGTTCTGTAGCTTTTTTTCAGGTAGATGTGACACACAAAGGATGTTGCTGTTGCCCTCAGCATTACAGGAGAGCTAAAGCCAAAACTGGTCTCGTCTTCAGTAGCTAGACAGCAATCAGAAGACAGCGTATTGCAAAACCACATCATGCCTTTGTGGGTCCATCCACTTAAAAACAGATGCACCACAGTTCCTGCACCTCAGCATTCCACGCAGCTAATGCTGAAGGTAGGGTGGTTACGCAGCGTAGAAGTTTATGAGTACAGACAGGTGAAAAGAAGTGGACTGTGAACCCAGAAGACTGCATTCTGTTTACTTTCTGTTTATCCAAAATCCAGGTATTGCTTTTTCAAATGTGAGAAAATGGGATGGTTTGGGCATGGTCAGAAAAGCAAAATAGTTAATTGCAAGGTGAGGTAGGTTGATGATGCGCACGGGTAATCACAGCAATAGTTCAGCCCATTTCTCAGTTCCGAAGTCTCTCAGAATCTGCTTTTTACTCTTGAGTCAGGAACATGTTCACTAAATGGAAACAACCCCTGCACTGGAAGGGCTCCACAGGGACAGTGGGATGATGAGAGAGGGAATGGAAGTTGATTTGTTCCTGACACTCAAGTTCTTCCTGCTGCTTGAGTTAGAAGCAGTGCCACCGATCAGTAAGGACAGCAGTTTCCCCATAGCACTGCCTGTGTAAAATTTAAAAGAAAGGGCTTATTTGTTTCTGGACACACCACTTCATTCAACCTTTTAAATTTTTTTTTTTAAAGGAGCGCAGAAAATTCGCTGTCCCATCTCACTATACACAGGAAGGGCTCCTGTGATAAAGCATCTCCAGCAGCCCAGGTTACCTCAGCATTGGTTTAAATGAAAGACAAACAAATAAAATGCAAAACATTTATTTGAGTGTGTTGTACAAAAAGTTTCCAGTCATAAAATGTATATTACAAATCATTGAAAAAGACAAGACATTTGGCATGCATATTCTAAAAAGAAAAAAAAAAAAACACTTTGAAATGGTAAAGTCTAGATCATTATGTAGTTTTCATGAGCTCCATGTAACATTTTCATTCTTTTGCTTGTATTTCAATTTGTAACCTTTCTCTCAAGTCATTTTAAAAATCTGAACCTCCCAAAAATTAGTTTTCAGCAGCTGACTGAAGATGGTCAGTTAAACCGGCCAATGACCAGAGCTAAATAAAGTCTGTGCTAAAAAAAATAAAAATTAAATTAAAATCACAATTCAAGTCACAAGGCATCACTGTTATGAAAATAGAGTTCAACCCAGAAGGTACTATTGTGCCCAAATGTAAAGCATTTTTGCTTAACCTTGTTTAAAACAGCTTATTGCTTGTACTTTTAGTGTAATGATGATCTGGGTAGCTGGAACAGAGTAACATCCACCTTATGGACAGAATTGTCACTTCATTAAAAGCTAACAAGACAATTTAGAAGTTCAATAAGACACTTTTTTTCCTGAACTCTAAGTCAATTCACTGCTAGTGCTATTTTAAACAGAGTCTTTCAACATTAAGCAACCTTTTCACACTCTAGACCTTAGCATTTCAAGAAAGGCATTATGCTTACAAATAATAATTGTATGTAAATATGGTCTTGTATAAAAACAAAAACACTTAAATTATTTTAAAGTGGTTTAAAGCTAAGCACGTTGAAGGGCAAATAAAAATTCTGTTTCCCAGGCCATTTTAAATGTTTGACAAATGAAAATTTCTAATTTGTCTTGACATTCAGCTAAAACAATACTTTCAAAAATGCAATCACTATCTCACCTTCCACTCACTGGTTTACAACAAGGCTTTGTCTCCTGGTTATGTAGGATGTGGGGTTTGGACCCAACAGTGGCAATAAAATCCAGTATCAAATATGGATTTGCCTTCGTTTAGAGATAAGACTTCCAAAACAAGATACAGAAAGAAGAGACTGAATAGCTTAATAGTGAGGAAATATTAGAAGTGGCTACACAACATAGAAAACACAGATCATGGATGTTTGCATACAGCATCAAA